AATACATTTTGTCATTTCATGTTTTTTACCAGATGAGTTCTGACAAGTGATTTAGAAGACTCCTTATTTACCTATCATTCTTCATGCATACCTTTAATTTCATGTGCTAATGGTTGAATTTGCTGATGCAGTTGCTATTCGGATTTTATGATCATGGTAATCGAGGTTTTCCTGGATGGGCTCTTAGAAATTATATTGCATTCGTGAGCCTGCGTTGGAAGATTGAGAAAGTTCATTTTTTCTGCTACCGAGAAAAACGAGGACGTCCTGACATACAGCAGTCCCTTGTCGGCGAAGCATCATTTCCGGCACCTCATGGTAATTTCGTACATCTGAGAAAAAAAAATAGGGGGAGGGGGGATCCTATCAAAATAACTAGTAATTTTGGAAGCTTTTAAAGCTGACACTGGTTATGCTTTGTAATAGCAGGCTGGGATGAACCTGATTATGTGCCTGAAGCAATTGGATGGGAAGGAGAAACGGCCGGGAAGGAATCGAAAGAGATGAAACCGAAAGAAATTGATCTTTCTTCAATTAATCCAGCAAGGTAGATTAACATTTTTTTCTGGGATTTGGAAATAATCAGTAATTGATTGAATTACCTTTGATTGCTTTAATAAGCACAGTCAAGATGAAGAAAAACAGCTGATGCACTTGAAGCTTATGGGATGGCGCCACTTCCCTGTGAATCTTGACAAGTTAGCTGGGGTCCGTTGTCTTTTGTTGGGTGCTGGAACTCTTGGATGTGAAGTCGCACGCCTACTTATGGTTAATGCTTTTAGCTGACACAAGATTTATGTTCCATTTTTATGGTTAATCATAACAGGGCATTTAAATGTGCGTATCTTTTCTGCTGTTAATTTATGGGTTTTTTTTTCAGACCTGGGGTGTTCGGAAACTAACAGTGGTTGATGATGGTTGCGTTTCCATGTCTGATCTAGTCAAACAATCCCTCTACACGGATAAGGATTGTGGTGTCCCAAGAGTGACTGCAATAGTCCCACATCTAAAAGAAAGATGTTCTGCGGTGGTGAGTCTTTGCAGCCTTATCTTAAAATCTATGTTGTTTACATATTTCTCTCATCGGTAACAATTGCTATCATGCAGGAAGTTGAAGGCATCCAAATGGGAATACCAAAGCTTGAGTATAATATTTCTGCCAGCAAAATATCAAGTATTACTGATGATTGCAAGCGTCTCCAAACATTAGTTGATTCCAATGATGTGGTCTTCTTGTTGAATGAAACATGGGAGGGAATGTGGCTTCCAACTCTTTTATGTGCAGACAAAAACAAGGTAAATCGTAGACAACCACTCTGTAATTAAGGACCTTTTGAGTAGTTCTCATAAGAGAGAAGTGAATATCATGCACTTTTAGGAGATCAGGCTTGAGTGGCAAATCTGTCAATAGATTGACCATGCAACTCAGTTTAGTATTCTTCGCCTTCCATTTTTCATCACATAGAGTGCCCTTGGGAGTTGGAACTAATAATGAGTTGGCTCCGCTGCAGATTGCCATTACTGTGTTGTTAGGATATGACAATTACCTTGTCATGCGACATGGTGCTGGTCCAGGAACAAAAAGTGGAGGTATGGATGAAGGGATTGCTCAGATAGAGAATTTGTCCACACAAGACGCTCTCGGTCGGCAAAGATTGGGCTGCTGTTTCTGCAGTGATACTACTTCCCTTGTTAATGTATAACTGTGGAAAATTACTTTATTTGTGTTTTATCGCGTGATTTTGCATTTATGACATAATTTTGGTATGCTTAATCTTATTCTTTGCAGTCAGATCATAATGGAGCACTGGATCAGCAGTCGGCAGTAATATTACCTGGGCTGACCTCAGTTGCATCTGGCAAAGCAGTGGAGCTCTTTGCTAGGATGTTACATCATCCAGATGAGTAAGTATACCTACATGAAAGATAGGTGTAAAGTGCAACATACATTTGTATAGCATTGTCTGTGATAGTTGAATAGTTGGTTGACCTAGTACATGAGAACATAAAAACAAGATGATGCCTTATAGAATTTTACTTCTTGTAGAATTCATGCTCCAGGAGATATTGCTGGTACAGACACTGAGCATCAGCTTGGTCTATTGCCACATCAGATGCAAGGATCGCTCTCAAAGTGTGTCTTGTCAACTGTGCTGTGCAATTCCTCAAGCAACTGTATTGCATGTTCCAATGCTGTACGTAAAGTAGAACATATGCAGGACTAAATTCTCATAATTCTATTTATTCTAATGTTTCTGCATGCTATTACAGGTTTTATCAGAATATAGAAGAAGAGGATTTGATTTTGTAACGCAGGCCATCACCTGTCCAACATATTTGAAAGACCTTACAGGCATATCTGATTTGAAAAAACCATTTGCTTCTAAAATTTCAGCCAGCATTCCTGTTTCTAAAACTTCGGCCAGCATTCCTGTAAACCTAGAGAAGCTGTCCAGTGCCCGATGTCTACTTTTAGGTGCTGGAACACTTGGATGTGATGTTGCTCGTATTCTTATGGTTAGTCTTTGTCCAGTTCTACTTTTATGTTGAACTACGAACAGACTTAACAAAACATTTCTTTGACTATGGTGGAAACAAAACTTTTCAGGACTGTGGTGTGCGGAAACTAACAGTAGTTGACAGTGGTCGAGTTGTTGTGTCGAATTTGGCAAGACAGTCACTCTACACATCTGATGATCGTGACAGCCCAAAAGCATCAGCAATACTAGGGCGTTTGAAAGAGAGATGTCCTTCAGTGGTAAATTTCAATTCTGTTCCTTCAAAGCAATCTTCATTTTCTCACATTCTTGCTCCCTTTCATGTCTGAGCATATTTCCCTTGTAGGATGCAAAAGGAATTAAAATGGAAATACCAATGCCAGGCCATCCTGTATCACCTAATGAAGCAGTCAGTGTGCTTGAAGATTGCAAACGCCTCCAGGAGTTGGTATCTTCTCATGATGCTGTCTTCTTGCTGACCGACACAAGGGAAAGTAGGTGGCTTCCAACACTTCTCTGCGCAAATGAAAACAAGGTAATTCTTGTGTGTATTCTTCACTAATGTAGACTTGTGAAGTGTTACATGATAATATCCCTCGCACCGCAGATTGCTATTACTGCAGCATTAGGATATGACAGTTACCTTGTCATGCGACATGGGGCTGGTCCAGGCACGAATTGTGGAAGTCCAGATGTGGTTGCTGCTGCTGATACACTGTCTGCAGAAGATGTTCTTGGTCGTCAGAGACTAGGATGTTATTTCTGCAATGACGTCGTTGCTCCTGTTGATGTAATGTTGCCTAAACTTTGGAAATTATACTCTTTTTACTTAACATGCTACATTCTGCAACTGTCACATCATTTTCCTTAACCATCTTGTGATGTAGTCCGTGTCCAACCGAACACTGGATCAACAATGTACAGTAACACGGCCTGGATTGTCCTCCATTACATCTGGCTGTGCGGCAGACCTCTTCACAAGAATGTTACATCATCCAGATGGGTAAGTGACTGGATACCTGAACATAATATGAACTTGCGCGATATCATTTCCAGGGAAAATGTTGGCGGCATTTGGTGATTGAAAAACCAACTGCATTTAATTGATCTTTACTACATTCTGCAGGATCCATGCTCCAGGAGAGATTGCTGGCACAAGCAGTGAGGGTCCACTTGGTCTATTGCCGCATCAGATACGAGGATCACTCTCGCAGTACAACTTACTAACCCTATTGGGCTATTCCTCGAGCAATTGTACCGCATGTTCCAATGCAGTAAGTAAACATTTATGATTGCATGATTTGGAACAGTTTCTTTAGAACTTCTTTCTTGTATTGTATTGCTTCTTCCTCATGTGATTTGGTGCAAAATATTGCAGGTGTTGTCTGAATACCATAGGAGAGGGATGGATTTTGTGATGCAGGTGATCAACGAACCAACCTATCTGGAAGACCTCACCGGCCTTACTGACTTGATGAAATCAGCGGCCTATTCTCAGGTCGAGTGGATTGATGAAGTTGACGATGACGACGAGATGGATATATGACGTGTTGCATGTTTTTTTTTTCATGATGTTAACACGTGTAAATACAATTCATACGCATACTTAGTCCATCAGACGATGAGAATGGCGTTCTTGAATCTCGAATAGCCTCTTCTTAACCAACTAGCAAATCACAGTGTAAACATTACCAATCTCTGGTGCAACAAACAATTGTAACCTAGGGGAAAAAAATGTACACTTTGCTAATATTCAATGCTAATGTTGTTCCCATTCTCAATTCCAAAAGAGAACGTTGTCCCCGTGTTAAATCGCATCGTTTTCTATGTTTCTACGCTTGCTGGAGCTGCACCGTCGACGGCTGCATGCGCCTCGTTGTGCCGCAAGTACTCGGCGAGGCAGAACCCGAATAACGCAGAAACTCCCGCGACGTCGGCGCCCATGACCAGCACCCCGGCGACGGGGGCGACGGCGACGGCGAGCAGCGCGGCCAGGAAGCCGGCGCCGAAGACGAGCGGGAACGCGAACACGAGCGCCTCCACGGGCACGGCGGCGCCGGCGCCGGCCGCGAGGTTCTGCGTGACGTGGTACGCCCAGAGGTAGAGCAGGAGGCAGAGCACGGCGGCCAGCTCCGACGCGAGCCACAGCGGCGAGCCGCCGTAGCTCAGCAGCATGAGCGCCATCGTCGCCGCCAGGAGCAGCGACAGCGAGCACACGAAGGCGTGCGCGTTCGCGTGCGTCCTCTGCTTCTTCCTCTCTTCCGCCTCCTCCTTGCTCCGGTCGCCGTAGGCGATGCCATCGCCGTCGCCGGCCAGCTGCTGCTTCTCCTTCTCCTCCATCTCCTATACAGGTTGGCTTGGCTCGAGTTGTGCCCGTGCACGAGCTCCTTTTATTGCTCCGAGTCCGGAGCTGAGCTCGAGTCGGATTGCATCCCGACTTACTCTACGGATTCGGTGGCAAAAATAACTTTGAAGCTTTCAGCAGAAGAACTGGACAGCAACAGCAAAAGAGGAGGTATATTGTGTATCCATCTGTTCTTTTATAGATTATAACAAGATAGTTACTAGCTCTCTGTACTGTACAGCAACTCATGTGCCGGCAGAAGTCACAACTGATGGAACATGGAAAATCAAAGGAGCAATTTGAGTAACATGTGGTATGTACAAGATACATGATTCACCCAGCTGCCTGAAAGTCTCCGAAGTCGTCGTCCACGCTCTCTTGAGGGGCCTTCTCTGCTGCAGTTGGTTGCTCCTGAGGAGCAGCTTCTGCTTTCGGTGGTGGGGAAGAAGCGACGTTATCCGCGGCTGGTTGTTCATGAGAAGAAGGAAATTCTGCTTTGAAAGGAGTGGTATCAGCTCCAGTATCAGCAGCTGGTTGGTCTTGGGAAGGAAACTCCGCTTTGAACGGAGAAGCCGCGATGCCAGAATCTGTAGGAGAGACCGGTGATGGCGGAGGTGGAGGGAGCTTGAGGGAAACTGGGGCCTCCTTGGAGTTGGCTTTTTCGTTAAATGAGAGCTTGTTGAGGCCTTGCTCAAAAAATGCAGATTTTATCTTTGCGCCGGACTCTTTCTGCACAGAACAAAAGCAAACCCAAACATTAAGGAGATGTTGCACAAGAAGCATATAACTACAAAAATCAGAAGAGACGTCAAGAGGTTATTTCTCAAATGATGTGCCAAATCTGGCGTAGGGGCAGTGCAAATATCCTTCAATTAAGTTCAATAAGGCTAAGATGGATCCCTACGTAAGAGCAGCTCAAACTGATATATCTACAAATATGCAGTTTTATTTAACACATTACATGGAAAATAGTCTAGAGAGCAAAATAATCTAATATGAATATTACTGAGAAATAGTAGGATCCTGTAAACCATTATACGGTTAGCTTCATTTCAACAAGACAAGAAACTTATTAAAACAAGTTTGTTTGAATACAAAAGTACTTAAGACACGTTCATCACACATGCCGTATAAGGGTTGATATCTTCGAGCCATGAATAGGCATTGTCATATGCATGGTAAACCTGGTTGTCATGATATATTTTTTTTACAACTGATAATTCTGAGAATTGGCACAGATAATATTTTCATCTTAATAAATTTCACGGTTTGACAATTTATGCGTGTCAATGCTTGGAGTGGACACAAAAATTAACTTCATAATAATTATGTTTGTGAAACCAAATGTTGAACTACTTCCTACTCAATATATAAGGCATCTTATGAGTGAATACACAGATTAAGAATTTAAAATGGTAATACAATCAAGATAATAAGAACAGACAACTATCGTTCTTAAATACCTAGGGAATTGGAGAAAGAATAAGGCCAAACATCAGAAAATCCCAGCCAGAAAAAACTGGACCTGGTACCTGGGCCAGGCTGTTCTGGCCAATGGGACCGTTAAAATAGCTGACAAGGGAAAATCCCGGTTCAACCGCCGGTTTCTTAGCCCACCAGACCAACCTAGGCAGGTAACGAGCCATTCAAAATTTGCAAAAGTAGTTAGTGACAACTGGAATTCAAACTCAAAAGATGTTGCTAATTGCTTGCATGGGCAAACCAACTCGGCTAACACCACTTGCTTGTTTCTACTAGCTGTTAACACGCCTACAATAGCACAAGAAGTAGTACGCTCATGTGGTCTGAGACCCGTTGACCAAGCGATTCAACCTCTTACTTACTGATCCAAGTCCTCGGACAAGTCAATGTCTGGTCTGGATCTAATAACATTGTGTGTAATTACTTTAGCAACCAAGCAGCTCTAGTGGCTTTAGGTAGGATGCTAATACTCTAGTACTGAGCTAATAAAACAACAATTACATCATGAAGGCCTACAGAAACAATTTCACATCACCAATCTCTAGTTTGACCACCAAAATATGACACATGAAAACTTACATTTTTTAGCTGCAAAACCAAAGTTTCCCCTTCTTTGAGGCTGTAATCCACTGATGATGATTTCTCATAGTGTTGTACCATCTCTTCAGCAGTCTTTTTCTTGTTTAGATATCTTTGATGATGTAAGAAATAACAAATCATACCGGAAAATGGTCCGTTATAAAAAGAACTTATTGGATAAAAATATTACCATACACAACTACAACTGCAAAAAGGAAATACAAATTGAATTCATTGTGACCAAAAACAGAAACATTTCATCTGACCGACCAAAAGAAACATAATTGGCAAGCAAAAAAGTACATCCTATGAATTGATTGTATGGGTAGAGGATTTTTTTGGGTTCATTTAGACCTTTTTAATAATAAAATGGTTGAACATTCAAAATAATAATCTCACACGTACGCGTGTTAACAGGAAATCAATGTCATGTTAGACCATTTTAATGATACTGCAATTGAATCAAATTCACATACAGAGTCCCCAGCCATTGAGTGATTACATGGGAGAACATTCGAATACATATCATGCTTCAAGTAATGAACACAAGGATACTTCATATGGTCGTGCAGAGCAGCTTGGAAATCATATGCTTGAGGTCTTTCACGGAAGCCTAAACCAATAAAGGCATGGCGCTGACGTCCATCTGAAAATATGTGGTAAGATTTTTTTAATAACTTAATATATTTCTACGTATGGATCAATGCGATAACTGATAAGCCACTTCAAACACTATGCTTACCACCTCAACACTATGATCACCAACTCAATGGAAAAAACATTAAGACACAAGAAAGTCATAAAAATCATGAGAAGATCAGCTTATCACCTATATTCTCTTCAACACGGAGTACAAAATATCTGCAAAAACAATGTTGGAGTAGCAACAATCATTTCAGGTTATCTTTATACAGTCTCTACATAGTAACTTATGCAGAATAGAAACACTAAGGACAAAAGTCACCACAGGATTAAACCACCATGTGGCAGGGAAAAAATGCAGACCTGCTGCTATCAATAACAGGTTCCACCGGATGTGGTTCGTCTTCTCTGAGGAATGCCCTAGCGTACAGCTCCCCTAAAAATGTGTCCGAGGAATCAACATTGGTGATCACACAAGCACTGACCAACGGCACTACCGTGATTTTTTTTGTACCTGTGTTCTTATCTTCCAGTTTGATGATGCACTCTTCTCCTTTGCTGACAACCTTGAGAGTCCCTTCCCAAGCCCACTTGTTGACGTTCCATTCATCAGCCCTGGTTGATACCCACGGTTTAAAAAATGTGACTCAGGCTCTCGGCTCATAAGGTCATACCAAAATCAGAACAGAACAAGTACAACAATGGAGTGAGCTAATCCAAGATTGCCGCATTCGATAGGGCCAATGGAACGAGAGTTCTCGAAACAGGACGACCTATAGCTAATTCAGATTGTTATCTTTGATCTGTCTAGCCCCTCACACAGTCAAACCTTCAAACTACATAGCCTTGCTCCCGCGGACAAATTGAAATGTGAATCCTACTAAGCCCATTTCTATCGGGATTTTTTTGATGAACCAAGACTAGTATATACCTGTAGGAGGCGGCTGTCTTCCTGGGAGGTATCTGCGTAAAGAGAGAGAGGATTAAAAAAAAAACATTAGCACGTTCACGCACACATAGTGCTCGACGAATTGCGCGCCCCCAAGAGAACACAAGCACGGGGGCACGAAGCGGGTCACTGACTACACACACCCTAAACAGTCAAACAAACCGGAGGAAGAACAAGGCGGCGAGGGGGGGGGGCGCACGGGGCGTACCAGGTAGACGTAGCACTCAGCGACCTGGAACAGCACGAGCTCCACCGCCTCCTCGGCCTCCGCCTTCGCCTGCGACTGCTCGCCGGTGCTCGACATGGAACCGGCGCCGGATCTTACCGAGGAGGGGAGCGGCCGGGGAAAGGAGGGGAGGGGGGAAGGCTGGCCGGATCCGGCGGCGGTGGGCGTCCCCGAATGCGGCGACGCGGAGGCGCGTGAGAGAGGAATGGATTTCTTCTTGGGGGGGAGAGAGACTGAGAGAGAGAGAGAGAGAGAGAGAGAGAGAGCGGTGGGAGAGGAGGAAGGTGGGGAAGGGAAGTGCCGAAGAGGGGAGAGGTTTGCGTCGGGTTCGGGGTCGGCCACGCCTGTTTGGTCTTGGGTTTAGGTGCGGTGTTGCGGTCGTGTTCGGCTGACCCGATCGATCGGTGTTGCTTCCGGTTTGGGTTTCATTCCACGTATCCGGTCGGTGTGGCGATCAGGGTCACGGTATATACCCTTTGCTTAGATTCGGCTCAATTTGAAAGATTAGAGATGTCCGGCTCCATTGGCTTATTCCGAGAATAAACCATACAATATATCTACAAATAAAAAATAATTTGTGAATAAAATTTATATATATATATATATGCTCTTGACGATCTAAAAGCAACGACTGAAAAATAAACTATGATAAAAAAAACCCTTATAATCAACTCTAAATTTAAGGTTGAAAAAACAAATTTTGTCTTATAAGCATAAGCGAAAATATGATCGCATTGCCCATGACTTGTTTAGAATGTGAGATTTTATAGCGGTACAACTCTTCAGTTTATAGCGGGTTAATACCGCACGATAATAAGAAATTACTCTTTTATAATACTGTAAATGATCGTTTTCCATTTGTCGTAAAGTTTATTGACACCTAAAATGCTATCAAGTTGGTTCGCACCGAGCTCGATCATCACATACCATCAATCTGGTGCTCAATCCTGATAACTATAGTGCAAGCTTTGACCGCTTCACTCAAGCTCCACACTCACACACATGAGTTCTGTCGGTCCGCACTCACCACTCGAGCTCTATGGTCATGTGGCCGGTCTTTAGATCTGCTAATCGATTTCCCCTAAGCCCTATTATTGTGCTCAAGCTTCATGGCTTTGTGCGCGAGCATCACTGCCTAGCCCTAGACTTGAGTTCTGCAATCCAACATAAGCTTTGAAACTACGTCTGTATGCTTTGTTGGTCTCACATCTTATGTCCGGTAGCCCCATCCCCAAGTTTTGCCAACCTTGAAAATGGGCTCTACTACACGCTGAGAGATTGGTGAGCAATTGGCGGGAGAACGAGGAAGAAAGATATATCCGTCCTTAGTTGTATAAGTGTTACTTGTGACAAAAAGAAGTGGACATCTTCTCTATTTTTTTTTACATTTTAGAGTCAATAAACTTTTAGATAAACAGAGATGATCCTCAACTATATTATGGCATAAAATCAATTTTCTCCTTACAGCTTATTAACTGTAAAGATTATAAAATTTAAAACATTATTGTTAGTTCATTATTAGAAAAGAAAAGGACTGAACTACCCCCTAACTATAGGGACCACACGATTTACCCCACAAAACCACAAAACCAGACACCCCCAAATTTTCATACCGGACAGATGACATCCCCCAACCTGATTTGATCTAGAGCGGTTTTGGTCCTACTCCTACGTGATGCGCATGTGGCAATCTCGTCAGCATAAAAAGTTTAAAGAACGATGAGCCAGTTAGAGGGTAATTAGGACTTTTTCTTATTAAAAAAATGAAAAGAACATTATTAGTAACAAAAAGAGAGTCGAGATTTATCAGTGTCAGCGACGATACGAGTCCTAAAATCAGGTAAAACGTCAGAGCGCATAAACTTTGCAACCTTAAAATATAGCCAAATGTTGTGTGCACAGTGCACCGTTGTACTACTTTCTTGGTGCTTGAGATTTAATCTATATATAGTAGTCAAATCTACTACAAATATGCTTTTGGAATGCTTTCCTCGCACCTTCAGGAGCAACTACTCTTGGTTTCTTCAAAACCGTTGCAGTCATGGATCTAGCTTGCTATCTTGTTGGGAAGAGAAAGATTTGATTGCCTTTTATAGTTTCATAGTTAGTCCTAGACGAATTTCAAGAGCTTATGTTAATTTGACCATATTCAAGAGGGTCTTTTGCAAAAGTGCTTGCACTCGCAGTTAACTCCCCTCTAGGGATAAACTTCATATGTGTCTAATTATCTATCAATATGTATCTAATTATCTATCAATAAAAATGCATGGGTTTTTTGTAAAAAGAAAGTTTACTAACCCAATCATGGATGAAGTTTCTGGTAATGTCCACCCGGCTACCAGTCCTATATCAAAGGTCACGCAAAAGCAACCATGGAAACATACACGGGGAACTTGTAAAGCGTACACAAGACCATCAAGAAGTGTAAAACTCAACCTGTGGATTATCCGAATTAATATGTCAATTGTCCGAGGTGACAAAGGGACAAAAGCACAAAGCATTGTTCTTGAACCAAGAACAGTGCAAAAGTAAAACTCAAAATCTCAAAAACTAAGATTTTGCACCAGCCGGGAATCGAACCCGGGTCTGTACCGTGGCAGGGTACTATTCTACCACTAGACCACTGGTGCCTCTTGTTGTAAATTTAGAAAACAAAGTTATATAATCAGGATAGTAAACGAGATTCAGAAACGCTGTGGTCTTGCTGTTGTAGTTCCACACAGGCTACTTGGGTCTATTCAGTCAGCAAGGTAAATCATGGGGAGAATATCATCGACATGTTTGATCTGAAAACTACTTGAGCATATGTTCCTTATTGTTTTAAGAAATTTTGTTAAGGAGTACGATGGAACAGGCAAATACTAAGTTTCAGTAACTGTATCCTTGGTTTCATTAATATAGTTGCTGCTCACCTTGGTCGTGATAGTGTTTAGGTGCAAGTAGAAAATTGAACCACCGTTTTCTTGAAACGTCTTCTTTTTTTTTAATGTAAGTCGACCTGTAAATCCCAACCTAACATCCTGGTTCCCTAGTTAACAATTGCCACAATTCTCACTTTTTTAAAGAATAGTCACAATTCTCACTTCCAATGCTTAATCTTTCAATCCCAAACAAAGTTTCTTTACTGCAAAGTAGAAGAGTTGAAAATTTTCAATTAATATCTACCCTATTTTCATAACGTCTCGTATCTTATCGATATTTTGCCTAGGATTTACAACACCCCATAGTTGGTGGCCATCTTTCTAAGTTCTATGCACGTGATTAAATTTATACTTTAAAACATACTACGTTCTAGAGTCTTCAGAAAAGACAAGTAAAACAACCATAGAAAAACTCCACTACTTCCATGTATGACAAACCACAATAAAATATAATACTATTTATTTTACTAACATTAATATCAATGTACTATTAGGGACGAAGCTATGAATGCGAGCATCCAAGTTTGAACTACGGTGCATATACGAGAAAATAGATAAACTAAAACTTAAAAAAAATTATACCGATTTTCTGGAGTTCTCATCTTCTCGTATGTTCCACCCAGTCACTAAAAAAAATTTGAGCCTTTTTCAATATGAAATTCAGATAAACAAACTTTATAAGTCAAATAAGGGTAAGAGCAAGTTTAACAGTATAGCCAACTACTAGCTCCAATTCATATATAGCCAATCTAATAGCTTATTCATACAATAGTTACATACTACACTATTAATATCTGGTCTCATCTGTCATATACTCACTGCATCTTGGAGTCCATGCTACAGCTGGCTATAAATCTGTAGCCCGCTGCTTTTCTCTCTTCTCATTTATTTTCTTAAAATATATTTATTTACAGCTAGCTTATAGTCTGCTATTGTACTTGCTATAACTATAATTCCTTTTTTAGACAAGTCATTGACGCGTCCGGCTTGGACACCACGGATGCCCGTGTCCAGAAATCCTGCGGCTGCCGGCCTGACCCGATAAAACCCCTCGACCGATCCCACCCCAACCCAACCCTTGTCGAATCCGAATCCTTCCCCCCCTCCCTCCTCCTCCTCCTCCTCTTCTCCCCCCGCGCCGCCAAGCCCTAGCTAGGGTTTTGCCCCCCCCCCCACCCTCCCCCCCCCCATGGATCCCTACCCCAAGAAGCGCAAGCCCGACGAGAACGGCGCGGCCGTGGCCTCCTCCCCGGCCGCGGGCGCCGCCGCGCTCGGCCTCACCCGCGACGACCTCCTCCGCCTCGTCGAGCCGCTCTCCCGGGACCAGCTCGCCGACATCGCCGCCACCGCCGCGCTCGCCTCGGGGGTGGCCCTCGACGCCGTGCGCGCCGCCGCCGACCGGGACCCGGCCCTCCGCAAGCTCTTCGTGCGGGGGCTCGGCTGGGAGACCAACTCCGACTCGCTCCGGGCCATCTTCTCCGCCTTCGGCGACCTCGAGGAGGCCGTCGTCATCACCGACAAGTCCACCGGCCGCTCCAAGGGCTACGGGTTCGTCACGTTCCGCCACGCCGACTCCGCCGTCCTCGCCCTCAAGGAGCCCTCGAAGAAGATCGACGGCCGCATGACCGTCACGCAGCTCGCCGCCGCCGGCGCGGCCGGGGGGGCGTCGGGCGGGGCCGCCGGCGCCGGTGGCGCCCCCGCGGCCGACGTCTCCCTCCGCAAGATCTTCGTCGGGAACGTCCCCGCCGACATGCCGTCGGAGCGCCTCCTTGCGCATTTCGCAGCCTATGGTGAGATTGAGGAGGGGCCTCTAGGGTTCGACAAGCAGACGGGCAAGTTCCGGGGCTTTGCCCTCTTTGTGTACAAGACACCCGAGGGTGCGCAGGCCTCGTTAGTGGACTCGGTGAAGGTGATTGACGGGCACCAGCTTGTCTGCAAGCTAGCGATCGAAGGGAAAAAGGGGAAGCAATCGCAGCAGCAGCAGCAGCAATCTGGACCTGGTGGGGCTCAGCCGCCCCAAATGCTCCAAGGCGGGCCGCCGGACATGCCGGGTTCAGGGCTTGGGCTTGGTGGACCACAAATGGGTGCGCAGTATGGTGGCCCTGGGAGTCTGTCTTCGTATGGTGCATTTGGGGGTGTAGGCGCTGGGCTAGGTGGTCCCAATCCGTATGCGAATTTGCCATCTTCCATGGGCGGCGGCGGAGCTGGGTTGGGTTCATTGGGCAATCAGATGCCTTCTGGGATGGGTGGTGCTGGGGCTGGTGCGTACGGGCCTGGGGGATTGGGTGGTGGTTCATTTGGGGGCTCATCCCAGTTTGGTGCTGGTGGGATGGGGGCTTATGGGGGTCTAGGCATGGGTGGAGCCTCATCACTGTACCGCATGCAACAGGGTTCGGGTGGGCTTCCTTCTGGCGGGTATGGTGAGGGTAACTACCCTCTTCCAGGGCCTGGTTTCCGGGGTCAGGAGGGTGGAATGTCACCTGGACCAGGTGGTAGAGCTCCTATGTACCCCAATGTGCCTCCTTATTTCTGAGGTAATTTTTTGCAACCCTTCCGTGTCTTGAATTTTGTACCTGATTCCCTTAGGCTTTTTACACCCAAATGCTTGATAATTGTCTTGTTATGTGGTTATGCCTGAACATTAACTTAATTTGTGTTTGAATTGTGATTGCTGCATGCTGTGTTTGCATTTATGTGAATGTGTATGTGACTGAAATAGTGATATGTAAGAAACTCTCACTGGTTACACACTGACAGTCTGTAGAGATATGGGGCAATAGAGTAGTGCAGAATTTATAGGATGCTACTTCTGACAATATAGGTTTAGTATGTTAATGTGCTCTAGTTGCTGATTACTTCGTTCTGTATATTTTTATGCTGAGAAATCTCTTTGGGTGTTCCTTGTTTTGGTAGCATCAAGGTTCAGTATAATACATTCATAGTAATATTACACACTCTTGATTGGTAAAATGTTGCTCTTGTTTGTTGTTGCAATAGTTGATTTCAGTGCCTGTGTTGCTTTTATTTGTTCATGTGTTTTTTGTAGTGTTGGACTCTAATTTGCATCCAAAGTGGACTGTCTTGTAATATTCAAGGTATTTGATTTCTTATAATGCTATATCATGCGTACCTGTGTGGTAATTTGCTTGGTCGGACAATGTTGCATTATATACTTGACCACATTTCTTTGAAAGGTTAAAGTGAAGGCAACTGTCTGAAATTTGAGGTTGATCTGCTATTTGAGTATATATAATAAAGTATGATCCTTTTGGCTTAAAACTGTTAATCCTGCCTGTTTGCAGTACATCATATGATTGTTCGTTCTTGGGTACTCTGGCCTGTGGATATTTTTTGTAGGTTACTCCTGAATATGTTTTCGCAATACAAGCACATTTAAAAATCCATTTGCCTGGTTTGCTGTTTGACGATATTCTACCTGTTTCATTTTTTGCCTTTTTTGCTTCATAATTGGCATGCAGCTTATTGTTTTACTCAAAACATTTGCAATTTTGAAGTTGCCATATTTTTATACAAGATAATAAGACTAATCAATATTCTCTATCATGAATCCTTTTTTTTTGTTATTTCTTTGTTATTTCTTTTTTTTTTTGTTATCAATATTTATGCATCTTTACTTCACTTGATATTTCTTCTCAAGTTTCAAAGTTGTGCTTGATGGCATTCCCCTTTAGGATTAGGCTTGTGATATTTGAGCTTGATGTATTAAGCAATACTATATCTTTTATTTTACTTTAAAGTTATATTATCTTAATTTTGTTTGTATATTTGTGAATTGGTGAACTATTGATTGAATTCCAGTGAATGTGTGAATCAGGTGTGTGACAACTCTTGGGAGCATATGCTTTGAATGGTTGTGCTGAATTCAGAAGTTGTCTGCTTACATGGATGTCTTGCATATTCTGGCTGCCTCTGATATGGAAATCAGTTTTTTGCTCTCAATTTTTCTGTTACAAGATAATTCAAGCTAGCTTAGTGTTTTCTGAGATCTCTTCATTAGACATGTACTTTCTCATAAATATGTGAGGTGTCGTTTCACATTGTTGTGTAATGCTCATTGTCTTATGATATCCAGTTACTTATGATTACATCTGGTGCTTGGTTTATTTGCGTGACATGTTATTTGGTGGCAACTTGATTGGCGAACCATTTGTTATCAATATGTGTCTGATGTTTTGTAATAGCTATATATAACAGCAGTTTTACTGAATGACTTCAGGATTTTTTTTTTATGGTTACCATCTGCAGATACGTGCAGATTTATTAGAAAACCTCCTGTATTTTGATATGACTATCTGCTGAGTTGGATCTTTAGTAAGAAAGAATCCATGTTGTACTTACCCACTTCCATCCCCAACTCTTGTACCTAGCATTTGTAGTTTCATCGAGCCATCCTTGTTGCTAGATACTTCATTTTGCTTGGAGTGAGAATTTCCTCTATGGTCAGACGCTATATGGTTCTGTTGTGCTCTTGTGATTTGGTTTTCAACATTTCTTGTGTATGTACATCTACATCATTACACGTTTTGCTTCTAGTGATTCTTTCTTAGATAGTTAGACTGTACTACGTTCTTTTGTTGTGCTCCTGCATCATTACACATTTTGCTTCGACTGATAATTTCTCATTTTGTCAGACTGTACTATATATGCTTGTACTGTGCTCTTGTGAGTTAGTTTTCAACATATGTTGTGTACTCCTACATAATTATACATTGCATGCGTTTGTTAGGAGTATTTTCAAGTGTACAATCACATGACTTGTTGCTGTTACGTGAGAGTTTGAACATTTTCTGCCATTGAGCTGAGGGGCATCTTTCTTAGGTCCTTTTCTTGGAGTGTAGCAGCTTGCTCCCCTTTTTTTGGGGGTCAAATTTGTGCTTTTGCATTCACTGAAATTATTTTGGCTTGCACTACTGCCTTTGCTATTCGCAATTGCAACTTCTGTATGCAATTCAATCACCATGATTTTGTTTAGATTCAAAAATTTTTCTTTAAACTTCCAACTTTTCTATCATATCAAATGTTTGGGCACATGCATAGAGCATTAAATGTGGACGAAAAAAAAAACAATTGCACAGTTTTATGTAAATCGCGAGACGAATCTTTTGAGCCTAATTACGCCATGATTTGACAATGTGATGCTACAGTAAACATTTGCTAATGACGGATTAATTAGGCTTAATAAATTCGTCTCGCAGTTTACAGGCGGAATCTGTAATTTGTTTTGTTATTAGTTTACGTTTGATACTTCAAATGTGTGTTCGTATACTTAAAAAAAATTGGCACGCGAACTAAATAATACTCATCGTATGAGAATGCTGCTCCATGTATTCATTGATTCTTGAATTTTGATTCTGTGATAATTAAATAATTGTAATGTGCTAGTTATCTATCATTGTGGCGCTGATTTGTTTTGTCCACGATTTTGGTGTACCTGTTTGCCGCTACAAACTTACGCAGTGTTGATTCCTGACACACTGACGGGCTTGTTTATTTCTCGTCGTATGAACTTGCATGCGTGATGCTGCCTATGCTGTGCTTGTTTAGTTTATCCTCAGCTGTGCCATTCATTACCAGGAATTGCAAAGCTGCAAAACTGTGTATTATCTCTTTTATCCTAAGCTAGTGTACATTAACTGGAGACCTCGCCAAGGAGGCAAGCAAGAGCAGGTTCCAGGTATCAGGCAGCCCCGGTAAGCACCAGTGGCTACAGTCAGCGTACACCAGCGGCTGTTGCCGCTGCTCCGTGCTCAGGGGCTTCCCTTCCCTGGTGATGGTGTACACCGACGGATGCGCGTCGACCCGGAGCTCGGAGAGGCGGGTGATGTTGAGGTACGTGACGGGCGTCCTCGTGCTCCGGATGTTCCTCTCGACGATGGACACCAGGCCCCTCGGGAACCATGGGACGATCTTCGTCTCGTCCGTGATTGGGGACGTCTGGTTGTAGCACCAGTTTTCGCTGCATTTGCAGGTGTTAGATCAGTCATCAGAGGTGTCCATTGTGGCTGGGTGCCGCGGGTGGTGCAAGTTAACTTTTACCTCTTGTGTTCTGGGGAGATGCTTCGGAAGAAGACCCTGGTCCTGGCCGAGTCCACGTTTTGGTCGACCCAGCTCGCCCATGTCCCAAGTGCCTGGTTGAACGCCTCCTCGCCTCCCATCTCGACCGGCTTCCCGTCCGCCTCCAGATGGTCCCACCTGCAGTAACACACTCGGCTTCACTGCCCTGCTGGAGAGAGAGAGAGCCAGAGAGGAGACGCTCTGGAGCGGAGTGGCTTACGCTCTGAGGTTGCCGGTGTGGGTCCACCAGTGGCCGGTGTTGAAGACGAGGACGTCGGCGCCGCGCAGCTTCTCCAGCGTAGCCGGGAGCTGGTCAAGCTTGAGCGCCCTCGTCCGGTCCTGCTTCGTCTCGAGCGTCACCAGGAACGGGCTCCAGAAGAACTCCACCGAGCAGTTGTAGTCCTGTGCATGTTTGAGTCACATATGTAATCAGAACTTTAGAAAGGTCCTGCTTGTCATTCGATGTACGGATTGATAACTAAACGAACACTGGTTAGTTGATACATAGCCCAAAGTTTTTTTTTTCAAACTTTCAACTTTCCATCACATCAAATCTTTCATACACACACAACTTTTCAGTCACATCGTCTCTAATTTTAACCAAATTCTAAACTTTGGGCCGAACTAAACACAGCCTATCTCAAATATATAGCTTTTAAATTGCCACCTAAAAGTTAGGGCCAGTTTGGTTTGGTGCTATACTAAAATCTTGGTAGTACCAAAGTTTAGGCAACTTTTAGCACTACCAAATTTGGATGGCCAAAACTTTTACTATCTAAAAGATGTGTTGTTAAAAATTTGACACCAAACCAAACAAATAGAAACACTATTGAAAATTGCCAATGAATTGGTAGGGCACAATTTGGAACCAAACCAAACTAGCCCTTAGTACATAACCTGACTTCCCAATTCATAACCTGACTTCCCAATTCACACACTAGTAGTTCAATCCGCTAATTTGATACTATTAACTTTCTCCCATCATGTCTCTCACTTTCATCTCCTTTCCTTGTTACTAATATGGTGTCAGTCTCAAAATAAGCGTAGTTTTGCATTCTTCATATTCAACGTTTAACCGTTAGTCTTATTTGAAATTTTTTTATAATTAATATTTTTATTGTTATTAGATGATAAAACATGAATAATACTTTGTGTAAATAATTTTTTTAACTTCTATAAATTTTTCTTATTTTTTAAATAAAATGGATGGTCAAACATTAGACACGGATACCTATAGCTGTACTTCTTTGACCATTCATCACTGTTCATGTCCAACGTTTGACCGTTCGTCTTATTTGAAATTTTTTAATGATTAATATTTTTATTGTTACTAGATGATAAAACATGAATAATACTTTATATGTGACTATTTTTTTTATAAATATTTTAAATAAGACGAGCAGCCAAATGTTAGATACGGATTCCCACGGCTGCACTAATTTTGGGACGGAGGGAGTACTTGGCAATTGGCATGCTATTCAACGTCAAGTGTCATCTTAGTTGGAGCATCAGAATTTTCCTAAGCATGTCCAGAATTTGTCTTATTTTCGGTTATTCACTTATGTCTATTTGATACCCGAGGGGGGTCGTAGACTGGTAGCGGATCGAAAATGATAATATAGAGGACATTAATACATGTTTCATACTATTGTTTCAACTTAAGTTGGGCTTCCCTTATCGCAAAGTGTAAACTATTTAACATTTACTGATAAAGTAAGGAAAATATGAAGGCCGTTGCATCTCATGGTTTAGTTTTGGATAGTGTTGCGTGTCATGCCTTGTAATAAGAAAACTCGGCCTGTACATATGCACTAATTCTGGGACGTTGTCCAAAGAAAAAACACCCCCGTAATTTCGCATGTACAGCCGACAGAGCATTCTTCGATTTGACTGATTTGTCCCGTAGGTCAACACTACCTCAACTCTGGCGACACAATCGCCAAAACTCATCGGCGGATTAAATCAATCGTGTAATATTCTCCCTCTAGTTTGTGTCTATTTCATACTACAAGTCGTTGGTTTTTTAAGTAAGTTTAATCAATTTTTTTAAAAAAATATAGCAACACTTTAAAATAAAATAAACATATTATCGAAATATAGTAAAAGTTAATTGTAGTGAAACTAATTTGGTTATATAAATGTTGCTAAATTTATCAAAAACTTAATTAAATTTTAAAATGTTAAAAAATTAAAATGATTTGTAATATAAAATCGAGGAAATAATATGAAATGGAGGGGTAGTAATTTGTTTGGCGTGCACGTACCATGGCGCGGAAGATCCTGTAGTCGGAGGCGACGTCGAGGACGCGCGACCGCGAGCGGTCGGGCACGGCGGTGTAGAGGAGGCAGGCGAGCGACTCCCACATGTTGCGGTTCAGCGAGTCGCCGACGAACACCACCCTCCGGTTCCGGCACTGCTCCAGCGCTAGCGCCAGCGCCGCCTCCCTACTCCCGCCGCCGCCGCCGCCGCCGCCGCCGCACCCTCGCGGCTCCCATCGCCACTGCTCGTACTCGGCGTCCGGCCGCCCGTTCCGCCGGCACGTCACCTGGTCGCTCAGGAACGGGCACTCCGCCGCCTCGTACAGCGGGTAGCCCCCCGCCGCCGCGCCGTCGCGCACCCACCGCCCCTGGAACAGGTCGCAGCTCTCCTCATCTCCTCCCTCCTCGGCGGCCGGCGAAGGCGCCGGCGCCGGTGCGGTGCTGATGGCATCATCGTCGTCCCCCTCCGCCCCCTCATCCCCGCCAAGATCAGGCGCGCGATCACGGGCACCGCCCGGCGACGCCGCTTGCGCCAGCTTGACGTACCTCTCCCACGGCGCCTCCCCGACCACCTCCCGCTGCTGCTGCGGCGCCGCGAAGAGCGGCCGGCGGAACGGGCGCGTCGAGCCGAGGAGGAGGAGGCCGGCGGAGACGACGAGGGAGAGGCAGAGGAGCGCGCAGAGCGAGGTGGCCAGCGCCCACCTCTGCCGCGACGCCGCCGCGACGGCGAGCGACGGCTTGTTCGCCATGGCGGCGGCGGAATGATCCATCGCTAACGACGAGAGTTTAATCCACAAAGAAGCACACAGGTCAACTGCTCAAAGCGAGGTAGTAATTATTAATTTGTAGGGTTAATTAGCTCGCCGGAGCACGGGATTAATCAAGGCGAGGAAAGCATGGAGGAGGAGGGGTTTTTGGTTTGGTTGCTTTCGGTGAGGAGAGGTTGGGTTTTTGGTTGGGTGTACACACTACACTTCACTTGGGACGCTGCTGTTTTCATGTGCACTTGAAAACAGTCACTGACTCGCTTCCTCTCCATGTACGCCGTGTTTAGTTCTAAATTTTTCTTCAAACTTCTAATTTTTCTATCACATCAAAACTTTTCTACACATACAAACTTTTAACTTTTCCGTCATATCGTTTCAATTTCAACCAAACTCATGTGAGTAGCAATTATACTGCCGCTGATGCTTAGTGGCAAGCAGTACAGTTTCACCAACTGTAATCATGAAGAACGTTATGTTTATGCCTTCCAGAGTGAAAACGAAGCAATTTTGATGCTAAAATTCCTACTATCAAATACGTGGAGTACTTTTAGGAAAAAAAAGGAGTATATATTTTTACCAGAATATTTATATCTTTCTCGTGTATCCAAATCAGTAATTATGGAGAGTTGGTGATGGATGATAATTGGATAGTTCAATTTGTATTCAAAGTTCGTGATCAAGTTGATGTGGCACGTGAATGCTTCTTGATTCGTTATTCTTCCGATCGATGCGACCAAAGTACATACACATAACATAAGCCTTGTGGTAGTACGTATGTAGGTGGACCTGCATCCATGAGTAGTAGTAGGGTAGTAGATGAGCTGTTGTTAGAGTAAAAATTAGAAAAAGCACACGCTTTTAGCCGTCAGCTGAATGGGCACAAGCCTTGTTAATCTTCACAACCTCCTTTTGCCATGGGCATTTTTCTCAATCATCATGAGACTCAGATCGACCACACTACTACCTCCGTCCCACAGTGGATGTCGTTTTAACTTTTTCTTATAACATTTGACCATTCGTTTTATTTAAAAAATTAGTGCAAATATAAAAAAAAGATAATCATACATAAAATATTTTTTGATAATAAAGCAAATCACAAACAAAATAAATAATAATTCTAAATTTTTTAATAAGATATATGATTAAATATTATAAATAAAACTCAAAGCGATAAGTAATATGAGACAGAGATAGTAGTAATTATCAGCGTGCCACGGTGTCTGTCTTTTTTCCGGGAGAGACAGAGGCCATCATCTGCATGTTTATAGCAATTAGCAAAGTCGAATGGTGAGAACAAACATAGTAACGGAGTCACGCGACGTGCACGTTGCACGCACGTACGGCGCGCGCGGCCATGATCAGCGAGCGATCGAGCGTGGCCGTCGCGTAAAGAATCGGTGAGATTTGCCGGCCTGGTTGCCTCGTCGATCTCGTCTGCGTACGCGCGTAACGTCGGGCAAAGCGAAGCTCGCGCTCGAGTAGTGGCTGCCCGGCCATCATGTCGGTCGATCATTCCATCGCCTTTGCCGCTTTGCGTAACTTATGTCTATTTAGCACAGCTGTAACTCCACCTTTATTTCTTCTGGAGTTGAAGTCCAGACGCTCTAGACAAAAAAGAGCGGAGCTAGATAGAGCGATTTCCACAACTTCATTATAGACATAACTTCTGGAACTCTTTACCGTGTTGGGCTTTCGAGTCATGGGGAGTTGGAATAAGTTCATATGAGGTCCCTTAACTTTACACTGAGTCCGATTTTCGTCCCTGAATCACAATACCAGATACCATGGGTCCCTCAACTGTCAAAACCGGTGTAGATGAGGTCCCTCAGCGGTTTAGATGGCAGTTTTGACTGATGTGGCGCTGATGTGGCTAATTTGACTTAGTCCTCATCGTATGTGGCGGTGATGTGGCACTTGGAAGCAAAATAAAAGGTCGGACCCACGTGTCAGTCATTAAAAATAGTGGGACCCACCCTGCTCTCTATCTCCCCAGCGCCGTCGTCCTTGTCCCTTCTCCCTCCCGGCATTCTTCATCCTTCCTCGAGCTCCCTAGCCGGCCGGCGAGCGCGCGGCGGCAGGCGAGAGAGCGGCGGCCGGAGCTGCATGACCTCGCCCCCCTCCCCCCTCCTCCGGCGCCGCTGCATCGATCTGCACGAGTTGCGGCGACGGCAAGCTCACAGCCACGGGACACGGTCAGCGTGGCGCTGACGGGGCCCGGGACTCGAGCTCGCAGTCGCAGCCGCTGCTGCCCACTTCCCCAATCCCCTCCATATGCGTCAAAGTTTTTGATATTCATGGCGTTCTGCTCTTGTTCTGGTGGATTGATTGATTGGTGTGCTTGTGCGGATGATTTGTGCGAAGGCGACGCGAAGAACGCCCACCTGATGTCTCTGGACGTCGCCTCGGAGAGGCTGCGGCTGTTCAAGGCCGACCTGCTTGACTACGGTAGCGTGGCGGCGGCCATCGCCGGCTGCGACGACGTCTTTCATGTGGCCTGCCCCGTGCTCCTCTCCGCCCCTAACCCAGGGGCACACATCTCTCTTTTTTCAGCAAAATAATTCCTTTTCTTCTCCATTGACTGGTTCAAACTGTAGACTGGTTACTGAAAATCGACAAAAATCAACAGTTTCTACTAAAAATGATTTGTCGAAACTATTGATTTCTCAACAACCAGTAGTAGCTGAAGTCTGCAGAGTTGTAATTAAATCGTCATGTTCTTGTAGCTAAATGAATTGATGTTGTTGTAGGTTCATACACTTGCTGCTGCTGTAACGGGCACGACGAATGTGTGGAAGGCTTGTTCAGAAGAAAGGTTGGGACTTGGTAAGGTTGTGGTGGTGTCATATGTCTCTGCTGCGATAGTAAATCCTAACTGGCCTGAAGGCAAAGCTGTAGATGAAGATTGCAACTCGTGCAGATCGATGCGGCGGCGTAGCAGGAGTCTTCGTCGGCGGCGGGGCCAAGGTCGTGCAGCTCTGGCCGCCGCTCCTTCCTCTCCCGTCATGCGCATGCCGGCCTACCCTCCCCGCCCGATGGCTGGCGCCCTCCGCACTTCTCCCCACGTGCGCCCTTCTCCCTCTCCATGCGCTCGCCGGCCGGCGAGGAAGGTCGAGGAAGGATGAAGAATGGCTGGGAGGGAGAAGGGAAAGGACGACGGCACGGTGGAGATAGAGAGCATGGTGGGACCCACTGACATGTGGGTCCACTATTTTTTAAACTGACACATGGGTCCCACCTTTTATTTTGCTTCCAAGTACCACGTCACCGCCATATAGGACTAGAACTAAGTCAAACTAGCCACGTCAGCGCCATATCAGTTAAAACCACCATCTAAACCGCTGAGGGACCTCATCTACACCGGTTTTGACAGTTGAGGGACCCATTGTATCTGGTATTGTGATTCAGGGACGAATATCGAACTCAGTGTAAAGTTAAGGGACCTTAGATGAACTTATTCCTGGGGAGTTTGCCCGCACGGGCCCGAAGCTGGTTGGAAAAAGCAGCATCGCCGACCGGCCCACAACATGTGACGCGACGGCGGCCCATGAGAGAAGCCGGAGCCCAAGCAAAAACCGCTTCTGCTCACTGGGTCCATGTTGTCAGCGACGCATGGGGCCCTCCGGCCTCCGCTGCCACGTGAGGTGCGCCCAATCCCCGGGGAGCTAGGAGCAAGGAGGCGCGCGGCGTTGGGGCAGTGGTACTCGGTGTGACCTGGTGGAGGCCGTGCTCTCCGCCTTTTGGCTGCTTGATGCGTCGCAGCCATCCGATGGCGCAATTGCTCGCCGCCGCCACCACCACCACCACGCCACCCTGCGGCGGCCTCCTAACCGCGCGGGCCTCCGCGTCCTCTCCCGGCTGCTTCCTCCGCGCGCTGCCGAGATCCCGCGCCATGGCCTCCGCCTCCGGAGCCGACGCTGCCGCTGCGGCGGTTGCTCCCCCGTCGCTGCTCGTCTTCTCAGGTGCGTCTTGCTCTCTCCCGCTCTCGCCAATTTGGATCGCTTGGAGCGTATGATAGTGCGTGCGCGGGCGCCGGGGGGTCTCGGTGATTTGCTGGGGATTCGATGCGTGCCCATACCTTGCTGCGAGTATGGGCACGCGTGATGGATTGGTCGAATTGGCGAGAGGAAGTTCCTGTGATTTGTGATTGGCTGTGATTTGGGCGATTCTGTGCATAATATTTTGTGTGTGACTGAGTATGCGAGTTTGGGAACAAAAATTGTCGAAATTACATTTGTGCATTTTTTTTCCTTACTCAAGCCATGGATCCTTCAGTACTATCTTACTATCTTACCCCTCCTTGGGATATGTATTTTGACGCAATGTGGCAATTTATGATTTGGTATGCTCAACTAGGATGATGGAAAGTGTCCAGTGCTTTATGTGCTCCTTTCTAGCTCACGTTTGGATGTTGAACTAATATGACAATTATGGCATGGATACATATGAACGCTGCTCCGATAGCCCTGGTTTATGTGTTGATAATTGGCACATCTTAAATTCTTGTGATAGCCATGTCTGAAATCCTGGATATTCTACCTGCGAAACGGAACACTAAATGGTGTTTGTCTTGGTAACACTAGGTTCTGCGAAAGCATATCTCCATGCAGCGCTGGATGAAAATAATGAAATGTCATTTAATTTCCATGTCAAAATTTTTTGTTTCATATATCCTGCTTGAATGATGGATTGCACAAACTATACCATGCTCCTAGAGTAGCTGTTTAAACAGTTCTATTTTCTTTCTTATGGATTATGCATTTTGCGACTTTGCGGGATTTCATAAATTGAAATTCGCTTGGCACTTGCAACCTTACCCTATCTGTGTAATGAACAGGTTTCCTTTTTTCCTTTTCTGGTTGGCACAGGAAGGGATGCACTAATGTCATTTACTTTTGTGTTCTAATATTTAACGCTATCCAGGAGGAACCGCTTTTAATGGTGTTGTAGAAGAGCTGAAGAAAGTGACGACTCGAGTTGCACATGTTCTTCCTGTTTCCGATGATGGTGGAAGCACAGCTGAGATTGTGCGAGTGCTTGGTAGGTTGAAATCTCTTGCCACACCACCTGCTACCTGAGATAACAATTTGTATAGTAATTGAAAATCCAACCTGTTCTTAAATGTTAGGTGGACCTGCTGTGGGTGACATTAGATCAAGATGCTTGAGATTGTCTGATGAAAGCACTTCAGAAGCCCTTTCTGTTCGGACATTGCTTGGGCACCGTTTGCCTCTTGATCCTTCAGAAGCAAAGCTTGAGTGGTAGCAATTAGTCTGTCTATTGCATATCAAAACTCACCTTTGTTCATTCAAACTGGATCAAGTAACTGGCTGATGTTTTTTATGTATGAAACAAGATGTGTGATGTTGTTAGGTTGTGTACTTGACAGGTACCAGATTGTAGAAGGAGAGCACGCTTTGTGGGATGGTGTCTCACAGCCATACAGAGAAACAATACGTGCCTTTTTAGTCTACTTCCATAATGAGGTCAGTTCCTCTGTAGTATTTTCTTTTCATAGCATATTTTTAATTTGCTTAAAGATTTTGCTTTGAAAATTTCAAATGAACAGTTTTCTGACTGGAGAACAGAAGAGAATATGATTTTTCGCCTCCCCCCCTTCTGTTTTCTTTTTTGCCAAGATTTATTTTCCTGGTATAGAGGGCAGTCTGATGATCAAGCAGTCGTTCCTTGCCCATGACATATAATTGCAGTCGTTTCGTTTGTGCAGATACTTCGACGGTCAGCTGAAATGTTTTGCTTCACCAATGGCAGGTGATTCTTTTAAGGTGAAATTTGCAGTAAATCATATTCTTGTGATTGCTTTTAACATGTCACCCGTTGGTCTCTTGCCACTTCTCAATTCGATGGCGTGACAGGGATGTCCTTTGTGGCAATACTTATTTCTTGGTATTGGGGCATTTTTTGTGGTCACAACTCATAATAACAATACTCCCATCTTGCCTACATCTGTTATTGACTACAGCTTTTTATTCTTGCAGCATTGGGAATTTCTTTTTTGCTGGGGCACGCATATTCTTCCAGTCTCTGGATGCTGCGATTTTCTTGTTCTCACGTGTGTCACAGATCCCTGCTGAAAGTCTTGTTCTTCCAGTGATATCCACAAATGACAGGCTTACACTGGGATGCGAACTATGGGTAACATCACTTATCAGTATTTTAGTTGCACAATAAAAAAACCAGTAGATTCATTTTTCGGACTGCTCTGGTGATCTGGTCTTCTTGTTCTTATGTTGGTTAATTTTATTGCTTCCATTTATTTATTTATTTATTTTGTTATTTCACTGATAGTTTAATTAGCCCCCCTTATAAACTTTCTTTAATTATTCCAACTTGCTTCTGAAAACTGGCATGATTGTCTTTGTTTTACAATGTTACTCCTATTATTACAAACATTCCCTTACTACAAAATCACATATAATCATCTTGGACATTATTCCATTTTCAGGATGGAACTATCATCCGAGGTCAAAATGAAATATCACATCCAAGCAATGGACGTAAAGAAGTTGTTAACAAGGTACTCCAGTCTATAAATCATTTCAGCATACTCCCAATAGTAGTTAATATGATCTATGTAACATCATTGCGATGAAGGCTCCAAAGCATTTCTGGGGCCACTTCAATATGTTCTATGGAACAACTTTTTTATGTTTTATCTTATAAAAGAAGCTATAGAAGAAAAAAAAATGTTACTCCTACCTTTAAAATTGTGTTGCCATATCCTTCTCTGGTGGACTGATATTTACAATTGTGCAAACTCCATTTCGTTATGACAATATCGGCTATTTTTGCTTCATTTCCGTTTTTGTTCATGGCATGGTTGTCATTGATTCACATGTTATCTTGAATCTATGTTTTTCTCCTTTTTACCTGGGCATGCTTGTTGATTTCTTATAATATTTGTTTATCTGTCACTGATTTATTTTTTATTTTGCTTTTTATTTTTGGAAAAGGATTGTAATTCATGTAGTGCACTTCCTTCAAGGATTAAGCGTGTCTTTTACATGTCAAGTGAAGGCAGCAACCTGTTGCATGAGGTTAGTACATTCATTTTATCGTAACCACCTAGACTGAACCTTTCATTGCACATCTATCATGAATTCTTGGTTGGGTAAGACTTTGATTTTTGTTAAAACAAAAGCTACTAGTCCCTCTAAGAATTGATTCAGCCTTTCTACTTTAATTTCTCAGCGTAAAATTTTTTTCTTGAATACCACACATCTTCATGTTCTTAATAATGATCATGATATAATAATCAGAAAATGTAGTCTATATTTCCATTTATCATGCTTATCTAATCAGTCTCATGGTGTTACTTACAACATTGTGAACTATACCATTCATCAATAGTGGGTTTTTAGCTCTTGGTTAACTTAATTCTTTAAAGAGTACGCTTACTCCTTCTAAGCTTAGTAGGCATGAGAAGGGACAACTCCTTCATATAGTAGGCTGTTATGTTTTGTGAATATCATGGGCTTAAAAGGGTGTGCACTTATAACCATGTAAGCATATTGGGATGACATGTATCAAATTAGCCACTTCACAACAGTATATATGTAAACAACCCTTTTTTATGTTTTAAAACTCCTAACTGTTCCTACTAACCTTGCAATGCAGGTATTTCCTGAAGCTAACCGTACAGTTTTGGAGCAGTTAAGTAAGGTGGACTGCATTGTATATGCTATGGGATCACTCTTTACATCAGTCTGTCCATCATTGGTAACCATGCTGCTCTATTTTTTGTTTGTACATAATTGTATTGACTTGATGGTCTTAAGTCTTAACATGATATCAGATATGTTCATTTTTATACTACATGCAGTACTAAGCAAACATGGGTGCCGTGCACATCTGATTACTGATACTGACTTTAAGCTTTTTTACCTGTGCCTGTTTTCCACATCAGCTTGTCTTCTTCTGAAATTTAAGGCTGTGCAGGTATTGCGTGGCATTGGTGAAACTATAGCATCAAGATCCATTCCGAAGGTAGTCATGTTAAAAAAATATTGTCTTGTTTTCATATGCTTTAATACAATGTTCTGTATTTGTGTTGATTCATTTTTTCTTGATTCCATCATGTAAATAAAAGCATTACTAAGACCTGACATTCTTGTTAAACCATATTGACTTGCTTCATGCTCTTGATTTCATTATGCTAGAATGGGTTTAATAGCAACCTAGAATAGTGGATTCACCTCCATAGTAGTGGACTCATGGGGTTATTTGATGTGTGAAGGGAGTTTTTCTTCACATAAAATGTTGTTTTTCTTGGTTTTTAGCCCCTTGGTTGATCATGCTTGTGGCTATTGGTGCTTTTGTCTAAAATTATTTATTCTGAATCTAGGTACTTCTTTTGAATGGGTCGCATGACAGAGAAACAACTGGGTTGCCTGCTTCTGGCTTTGTGACTGCCATTACTGATTCTCTAAACCGTACATATGGATATCCTGACAAAAGTCTAAAGAATCTTGTAAGTTCGGTGACTGTGCCTTTGAACAGATTTTCAGCTAATGATTGGAGGAATTATGCATCATATCATTTACTAGCTTTAGAGGATGGGAATATCCCACAGATCAGCGTCCCCTGGTCCACATCTTGAATGATTCAGTTAAAGATGTACATATGCCCCTGCCCCTTAACATTATCTGTGTGAAGATTTTCCATCTGACAGCTTCTTTTTCATTTTGTGCAGCCCAAAGACTATGTGAATGCTTTATTGGTACCAAAAGGAGGCCAAATTCCTTTGGATATAAAAAACTTGTCTTCTAAAGGAATCTTTCATGTGGTAAGTGTTTGTGTTTGCTAAAACAGTGATCATTAAGTGTAAAATGTGTGGAAAAATGTTATAGTTATCCATCGAGTCCTTAACTGTGTAATATTTTCGAGAATGGATAGAAAATCCAGCCTCTATATCCATGAATGGATATATACAGCCAAAGGTTACATGAATACTTAGATTCTAGGTCTTTTACTGAGAAACAATCACGAAAAAGAAAATGAATGGTCGAGATGCTCCGAAATTTTAACGCTTCTTTCCTAGTTGGCTTTTCTGTGTGCGATACCATGTTACTTCCGTCATTTCATCCCCAATGAAAGAGGATATCTAGCATCAGCTTATTAATTACTACTACCTCCGTTTCAGGTTATAAGACGTTTTGACTTTGGTCAAAGTACTGTTTCAAGTTTAACTAAATTTGTAGAAAAAAATAAAAATATTTTCAACCCAAGACAAATTTGTTATGAAAATATATTCAATTATTGATTTAATAAAACTAATTTGGTACTATAAATATTACTAATTTTGTCTATAAACTTAGTTAAACTTGAAGTAGTTTGACTTCGACTAAAGTCAAAACGTCTTATAACCTGAAACGGAGGGAGTACATGATAAAACTACAATAATTGCAGATTTTGCACGGTGGGTCACATTGAGCTCTGTAGCCTTGGTTAAACAAGCTTACTTTTGCATACTTAGGCATTTATCCATTACATGTTAGAAAAAAGGCACACTGTTATTTACACAAGATAAATATGAAAACTCAATGTGTAGGTCGGTATTCCAGAAGTACGCGATACTGGTCCACGTTCTTCTGTATTGTAGCTTGTGCATAAACAGTATTGAGATTGTCGTTTTAATGTGCTAACTTATGAAGTATATTGCAGGTTACTGTGGACTCTATACACGATGGAAAGACGGGCATTATTTTTGATCCGCATTCATTGATTCAAGCCCTGACCAGTCTAATATCGGATAGGCGTTTCGTGGAACCTGATCTTCTAACAGAAAATGTAGAGTCTGTATGCTGAAATCTCAGTTCTCAAATGTTAGGTATATATCTCGCTCCTATTTTTTCCCTGTTCAATACATTGTATGGGGAAACTGTAGCATCAGTTGCCCACTTGCACTTCGTCAGCTAGCTTCATTGCTTCATTCATTGAAAACAAAATATACAAAAACAATTGTGCTCATAGTTTAATTTCACCATCGAATCAGATTTCAGTTCTTTTATTTCTTGTGTTATTCAAGGCGATGATAATCTCCCCTGTTCTTTTGTGCTGAGTGGCTGAATGAATAACTAAATGATCTGTGATAATTATTTGAAGGTACGTACGAACGAATTAAATATTATAAAGTTGATAAAAAATAAATTGTAGTATTCTAAGAAATCTATATATAGATTTATTATTATTATTTTGTGTGTGTGTGTAAAAATCGTACCCTTCGGGAGCTCGGGAAGCCCGGGTATTCTTTATTCCATTTCTCTCTAAAAAAACAGGGCCTTACAGTTGAACAAGTAAAACCGGAGGGGTCAAACGACGTCAATGGAGGAGCGATGCGAGACGGGAACCCCACGCGTACGCAGCAGTCGGGGATACGGCCGGCACTAGTCGCTTCCGTCCATTGGCGCTACCCTACCGGGACGGAAACGGCATGGAGCTCGAGAATCAAGATGGCTACAAAGAAGAAAAAAAGAGGAAAAAAACAGAGAGATCGATCGGGCCAGCCAGCAACGTTCCCTCGGTCATCGGTACGATTCAGAGCGTGTGTGTTCAGTTCGGCTTCATCTTCAATTTTGTATGTACCAGTTTGGTCCGGCTCAATTGGCCACAAATTATGAAATTGGTTAATGCACAACACACGAGTACGGTACACACGCACACACCAATTAAATCGAGCAAGGCTTTACCATTACGACCTTGACCATGATGGACAGCGAGAGGCGACGACCTTTGCTTGACTTCTTCACTGACCCATGGTTGGAGCTCGCCTACCCAATCTCCTATATATAAAAAGCTAGAGCTACCCTGCATGCATGCACAGCACAGCCCAAGCGAACCAGCAGTCCAGTCCAGCACGGGCGCACGCTCAAGGACACCCAGTGTACGACGAGAGATGGCCTCTGCTCGCCGCTGGCTCTGCCTGATACTCGCCGCCGCGGCGGCGGCGGCGGCGTCGGGTGCTCCAGCTCCGGAGGACGACCCGGGCATGCCGATGGCGGCGCGGCACCGGTGCTGGATGGCGAGGGTGGGGCGCACGTACGCGGACGCCGCGGAGAAGGCGCGCCGCTTCGAGGTGTTCCGCGCCAACGCGGAGCGGATCGACGCCGCCAACCGCGCCGGTGACCTCACCTACACCCTGGGGCTCACCCCGTTCGCCGACCTCACCGCCGACGAGTTCCGCGCCAGGCACCTCATGCCCGACGCTGACGTCGACGAGCCGGCGACCGCGAGGGTGTTGTTCGAGCAGGAGGAGAAGGCGGCGAAGCAGCATCTCCCTCCCTCACGCCCGCCTGCGGTGTGGGGCAGCAAGGACTGGCGTGACCTCGGCGCCGTCACCCCTGTCCAGGATCAAGGCAAGAATAATTGCAGTAAGCACCAATTAAACTGTTTTATTAATAATAAAAATGGATTATATCTTCTGTCTCAGTGAGTACGCAGCCAAAAAAAAGTCGTAGAAACCAAAAAAAAAGTCTTTGAAGTAAAAAGAAAGGAATAAACAAAATGATGTGATAGAAAAGACCCCAACTTTTGCAATGAAAATATTAACTGAAAGGGAAACTCTTTTAAGCATTTAGGTGGACGTCTACTGGTTTCTTACATCCCAACTAAATGTTAGTATGATTTTTTTTTAAAAAAACTGATAAGACATATTAATAATATATCGCTCCATAAACATGTAAGTTAGAATTAAATTTTTATAAATTATAAAAAAAAAGAAATTTGACTATTGGATGTACATATACTGGAGTTTAATTTGTTATTTTTATTATAATTTATAGAAGTCGAATTTAAATTTGCATGTTTGTAAAGTGATATACTACCTATTAATCTATTTTATTATTTTTTAAATTTTTTTTAATAATCATTTGATTGGCATGCATGAATCACCCAAGAGATTTACAACCCATCTTCCAACCGAATTACGTTTCCAGAATCACATAAATCTTGCATCTTCATCATGTCGTTCATGGCGGCCGGGGTGATATGAATCTATGATGTGTCGTGTGTGTGTGTGTGGTGCAGACAGCTGCTGGGCGTTCGCGGTGGTGGCGGCGACGGAGGGGCTGATCAAGATCGAGACCGGCAACGTGACGCCGTTGTCGGCGCAGCAGGTGCTGGACTGCACCGGCGGGGACAACACGTGCAAGGGAGGCCACATCCACGAGGCCCTGCGCTACATCGCCACCGCCAGCGCCGGCGGCCGGCTGAGCACGGACAAGAGCTACCGGCCGTACGACGGGGAGAAGGGCACCTGCGCCGCCGGCTCCGGCTCCGCGTCGTCCTCGTCCGTCGCCGTCGTCATCCGCGGCGTGCAGAAGGTGACGCCGCACGACAAGGACGCGCTGCGCGCCGCCGTGGAGAGGCAGCCCGTGGCGGCGGACATGGACTCGAGCGACCCAGAGTTCAGGGGATTCAAGGGAGGACGCGTGTACCGCGGCAGCGCTGGCTGCGGGAAGAAGCGGAACCACGCGGTGGCGGTGGTCGGGTACGGGACGGCGAGCGACGGCACGCCGTACTGGCTGCTCAAGAACTCGTGGGCCACCGACTGGGGGGAGAACGGCTACATGCGCATCGCCGTCGACGCCGACTGCGGCGTCTCCAGCCGCCCCGCCTACCCCTTCGTCTAATAACTAAGGATACCGTGCGTCGATCGCTGTCGCGTTTCCTTCCTCGTTTCGTACTAAGTTACCGTAATTTCGTCCATTATATTCGTATACATGCTTGAAATTCGGAAGCATGTATATAAGAGTATATCGTAGAGTCAATAACCCATTTGTACTAAGCAAGTGTATGTATATGCATGCGTTGTATCCTTCTTTTTTCCTTGAATACATATCACAGACATTCATGATGCGTAGTGGTAGTAGATTATGCCGCGCTTCTTGCATGTGTACAAAACTGTAACGTGTTAGCCCCAACAGACATTCCAACTCATCTGGACAGTCCCGTCCGTCCCGTGTGGCGTGTGCTCCTGAACGACTGCAACCTTAATTGCCGGCCACAGACGGCCGGGGCTCATTGGAGGAGGATCAGGGGCCAAAAATTAGCGAGGCCCACTACTATTGGAAAAGGCTAAGTACATTTTACGTTCCTCAACTATGGGCTGCGTTATTTGTGACCCTCAACTGTAAAACCAGCTATTGAGTGCTCCCTGTCTTATAAACCAATGCAAATTGAGTCATTCAATAGTATTGATTGTGGTTTTGGTTGACGTGACATCCTAGATAGAAAAAGAAGAAAATAAGAAACGCATTAGAACCTGGCTACCCCACCTTCCTCTTATCTTCACCCCCCCTCTCTCTCTCTCTCTCATTGTGGCTCGCCAGCGGCTGCACCCATGGGAGCTCGATTGAGGAAGGCTGCACCAAATGGAGGAAGGCTGCGAAGACATAGGAGCTCAAAGAGGCTAGCGAGAAGGGAGCTCGATTGAGTAGACACTCACCATGCCATCCCTCGTCTCCCCCATCTCCATCGCCATGTGCGCAAGGAACTTGAAGCTCTTGATAGCCACATCCCATCAGCACGATGACAGACTTCAAGTGGCCACTTGCCCTCTCATGATGTTGACGTCGAAGGCAAAGAGGTTGAAGAGGATGAGAAGGGTGTAGTGCTTGCTGAAGCTAGACGAAGTCAGATGTAGAGAGGAAAGCAAGGAGCAGCAGAAGAAGCTTAGCCTCCAATTTAGAGAAGCAGCCATGTGCGCCGCCGCATTCGTAGGGAGTGGAACAGGAGACCAAGAAGCAACATGACGGCAATCGAAAAGCAGCCACATCCACCACACCACATCGTTGACTACCACGAAGCATGATCTACGAGTCGTCCAGATCAGGGTCTGCATCCATGGCTTGCTTGAGGATGCCACCGCCGCTCCATGTAGGCAACCACTTGCATAGGAGAAGCTCGTCGGTAGTTGGGATTAGGAATGTAGAGTCGTGGGGTGAAGCAGCAACACCTATGGAGGCCATGATAGGGAGCTTCTACCTGCTGATGGGAGGTGGCTAGCGGCTAAGGAGCTCAAGCACCCAAAAGCCGCCACCACCACCGGCGCCACGCAAGAGTACTAGACGACTGGTGTAGGAGAGGGTGGTGGTCTTCGGCTGGTGGGGCGGTGGAATTGAGGATGGGTGAGGTGGTGGAATTGAGGGGATGTGCAGTGGTCCAAACAACTGGCGGAGAGAGGAGGAGACATCTGCATGTAAATGGAGAAAGAGGGGAAGAGAGGAGAGGGAAAAGGGAAGAGAGATGGGTATGCCACTGACAGATGGGACCCACTAACTATTTTAAATTCTAGGCAAATTTTGCTATACGACACCGTGACTTCGCGTTTTAGCTGTCGGACACCGCATGCATTAAAGTAATAATTTCCGGTTGAAGAGGAGAGAGAAATCGTGTGAAATATCAAAAATGCCCTTGGGCCCACATGTCAACTCTCCTATCTATCCTCTCTCTATCACTCATCTTCTCTCTCTATCCCACATGTTAGCGACGATGGTGGGCAGGCGAGGTCCAGTGGCGGTGGTGGCAGAGGCAGAGGCGTGAGGGCAAGGGCAGAGCGGACGCGACCAGCGATGTGCAGAGGAGCGCCGGCGCTGGCCGGACAGCGGGCGAGGTTCGGCGGTGGCATCTGCGTGTGGAGGAGCGGCGTCGTGGTTGGACGACAACGGCTGCAGCGCGCGGAGTGAGGAGCCGTCGCCCACGCAGAGTGAGGAGGGAGGGGCGCCGTCGATGGTCGACGCCGCTGTCTGGGCGTGCCGTTGGCCGGAGCCGTCGTCCTCCCGTCGCCACGGCCACTCCTCCCTCGCCCTCACGCCACCGCCAGACCTTGCCTAACCGCCGTCGTCACTGACATGTGGGATAGAGAGAGAAGTGAAGGAGGGGATATAGAGAGAAGAGAGATAGGAGAGCTGATATATTGGCCCTATTACTGACATTTCATGTGATTTCTCTCTCCTCTCTAACAGGAAATTATTACTTTAATACGTGCGGTGTCGACCAGCAAATATTCAACTTTTGAGAATGTCTTCCCCAAAAATCACTTCGTGCGGTATCTTATAGCTAAAACCGTAAATTCATGACGTACTTTAGCAAAATTTGCCTAAATTTTATAATGGTAATGCTACGTAAGCGTCCCGTAGACACCATGTTAGATGAAAATCAGATTAACATGCCACGTAGGACGAATCATCCAATTCCAAACCATCGAGACTCGAGAGATTCAATTTATACTGGTGTGATAGTCGGGGACGTAAAGTGGATATACCCTCGTCCCCTGTCATTTGCCTATTTTGATCCGCTCAGCCACTTCTCCATCACCCGCGCCACGCATGTGCCACATGTGCCACTCGCGCATGCAAGTGGCGCTGCTCCTTTGCACCCATGCATGCAGGCCGGAGCGAGCAGTAGTAGTAGTTAGTTATTGCAAGCAACCTCAGCGATCGCATTCGCACGCCGAGTTTTCTTCCAATATCAGGACAACAACTCGTCCACCCTGCCCATTCGCTCGCTCGCTCGCCGTGCGTAGCTAGCTGCTAGTAGCTCGTTTCATCACGTTGCATTTGCGCCCGATCGAGCGGGCCGGAGCGCGCGTGCCGCCGGTGCCGGCGTGCGCGCCGTCGTCGGGACGGGCCGTGGTTCGATGCACGCCGCCGTGCCGTCACTTGCGAGAGTGGCAGACAGGGACGGCCGGGGCATGCGCAGCGGCAGCTAGCCCATATATGAACGGAGCCCACAACCCAGCATAGTAGTATAATGTAATGTGCCCGCCGCCAAGGAGGAGTGTCATCAGGATTGATCAGGCTAGCAATAATAATGTACAAATGGACTACGCGCGCGCATGCTTAGTCAGGATGGGGATGCATCGATCTGGTGCAAGCAAACGCTGAAACGCAGGAGTGCATCTTCCTATCACCTTAATTGATTGTTACTCCTTTGCTATTCGTCAGGTGACATCGTTTTCAAATTTCTATACTGGGGGAGGCGGGAATAGGGCAGAGGGAGGGGTATTGCGGACTCGGTGCCGGTGAACCGGCTGGCTTATTTTTATTAGGGTTTTAGGATTGAAGGTGGGAGGGGGTTTGGGAGGCGGAGAGGGCGATTTAAATAAGTGTTAAGGGTGGTGAAAACCAGCGGCGGACGTTAAGGTGCCGGGGCCATGAGAATAGAGGAGGGTGATGAGCGGGGTTTACAGCGGATCTAGCGGTGTGAGCCGCCGGAGATAGGGATGAGAGGCATGGCCGGAGAAAGGCACCATAGTTTATACAGTGTTTATGGATCTAATCTTGGGGGAAGGGGGAAAGGAGGAGGGAAGTGGCCAGGAAGGTGCGACTGATTGGCCTTGCCGCTAATGTCGATAAGGTGGACGGAGGTGGCGACGGTTGGGTATGGAGGAAACGATGAGAGAGGTGGAGTTTTGGTAATAACGCTTAACATGAATGTTGAATCAATTTGAATTGTTAAAAAAATTGATTTATGTTGAAGGAAGAAATTCGTCGGCTGATATATAGTACTCTTTGTACTAAAATATAGTTAACTTCATATAAAAAAATATAGTTAAATATATGTTATTTTTAAAGTAGCTATTTACTACTCCACCTTCGTCTCAAAATATATTTTTTTTCTATGAATGTTTATGTTTTAGGACGGATGAAGTATATCTTTTATAGAAAGGGGTAAGCCTCTAATTGTTGTTATCAGTGTAATAGCCATATAGGGATGGGATGGAATAATCGTGCTGAGCCTGAGATTGAAACCGGCCGTCCACATCAATGGGATCACATCTGTCACCATCGACGGCCGATATATTGTTGCTTCTTCCATCCTCATGGTGACAATAACATGCACTGTGTAGTTTGCCACTCATGGTGATAACGAGATGCATTGTTTAGATCGCTGGCTAAAAAAAATCTACGCCGATTTTTGGAGTCGGTAATGATCTTGGCCGTGCAGGTTACTGGACTGATTGACGGCCGTGTGCATGCCATCTAAATGATTATGAGTATGAGGATGGATTCTAATCTCTCGGGTGGACGTCCACCCGTTTCTTGCATACCACCTAAATGATTATGAAAAAATTTCAAAAAAATTCACAAGATAGGTTAATATGTAATATATCACTTTACAAACATGCAAGTTCAAATTCGACTTTTACAAGTTGTAACAAAAATAACAAATCAAACTCTAACTAGTATACGTATATTCACAGTCAAATTTATTATTTTTGTTACAATTCGTAGAAGTCGAATTTGAACTTGCATGTTTGTGAAGTGATATATTACATATTAACCTATTATGTCAATTTTTTTGAAAATTTTTCATAACCATTTAGATGACATGCAATAAACGGATGAACATCCACCCGAGTGTTTAAAAGAGTTTCCCCGGTGTGCATGTATGGTTGAAGTTGGAGTATTGTGCGTCGGGATAATGGGATTTTTTCGATCGGTTGATTGGCTCCGGCGCTGGTCGGCTTTGTTGCTCCGCTGCCTGCTTGCTTACGGTATGCGTCCCACTTCCTAAGATAGAATCAACTAATCCTTTCTGATAATATATATTAATACTTCTTTTTGCAATTGGAGACACTTCGTCAGATGCATGGTGTTTCTTCCTTGCCGAGAATCAATGATCATTTGAGATGTTCCATCACTAATTGCAACATTTGAGATGCTTTAACCAGATGCAAAACTCAAAAATATACTAATGCAACATTAAAAAAACCAATACGTACGAGAAACAATCAACAACATGAAGAAAAAGAATTATTGACAATCAACTTCAATATGGTGAGCGCACGCCTTTAATGCGACAATACATATCATTTGCAAGTACAACAATATGTAAAAAAAAAGAATATAATAAGATGAAACAAGATAAACAATGAATTGTAACAGTATCTAAAAAAACTGTTCAACATAATCCTACCAGTCTAGATTAGCCTTCTTCCTCTACTCAGAGTGGCCAGATCCGCTTTCTTCCTCTACTCTCTAGTGGCTAGATCTAGGCTCCTCATGAAAAACAAGTAGGATTCCTCACTTTGGGTAACCACTCTACTCTCGGACAAACATAGTGAGGGCCGAGGACTTGGAAGATTTGGAAGGCGGAGGTGCAGCCCACCTATGAGTAAGCAAAAGTGTGCGGCCCTCCTATGAGACATATTAATTCATAAATATGCAAAGTTAAATTCACTATCTACAAGTTATAACAAAAAGAACAAGGGTTGGTTTGGTTTGTGGCCTAGATAGGTCTTACCAAATTTTGTCAATGCCAAATTTTGGTAAGTTTTGGCATGACTAATTTTGATAAGGTAAAGTTGTGTTTGGATTGAAGCCAAAATAGTCTAAGTTCACTATTGAAATGACCTATTTTCTTAGGGGGCTTTTAACTATTTGCCACTTTTAGATTTGGCAAATAACTATTTGCCACCTCTATCTCAATGACATGTGGGTCCACATATGTCTATGACATGTGGGCCCAGTGGCAAAAAGTTAATTGCCACATCTAAATATGGCAAACGGTTAAATATCTCATTTTCTTAGGCATGTCAAAATTTTGCTTCAAACCAAATAGACACTAAACACTATTAAAATTGACAAATATTGGTAAGCCTAATTTAGGCCCCAAACTAAACCTGCCCCAAATCAAAGTGAAACTAGTTAACATACATTCACATTTATATTTATTAGTTTAGGTACGACTCGTAGAAGTCGAATGACTTACATGTTTGCACAGTGATATAACTCATTAATCTTACTTATTAATTTCTTTTAAATATTTTAATAACTTTTTAGATGATATGTAATAAACCTCTCGAGGATGAAAACTCTTTCCCGGATGCACGCCAATCCACCGGACAGTCAATTCAATGAACCATCCCACTGGACACTGGCGCATCCGCGCATGCACACCAGAGTGCAATATGGACTGACCCGACCATGCATCAACCGTGCGTCGTCTATAAATACGAGGCAAATGCGCCACGATCCTCAGCTCACAAGTCACAAGCAACACAGAGTGAAAAAAAATGGCACGGGTTCCCGTCTCTCGCCACCTTCGCGTCGCGCTGCTTGCTCTCCTCGTGGTCGCCGTCGCCGCCGCGGCGGCGGCGCGCGGGGATCAGCCGCGTCGCGGGCATAGCATGGCCGCGCGGCACGAGCGGTGGATGGCTAGGTTCGGGCGCGCGTACGCGGACGCCGCCGAGAAGGCGCGGCGGATGGAGGTGTTCGCGGCCAACGCGGAGCGCGTCGACGCCGCCAACCGCGCGGGCGGCGACCGCACCTACACGCTCGGCCTCAACCAGTTCTCCGACCTCACCGACGACGAGTTCGCGCAGACGCACCTCGGGTACAGCTGGGCGCCGCCGCCGCCGTCGCACCGGCATGGCCACCGCGCCGAGAATGGCACCGCCGCGGCGGCGGCGGATGACACGGACGTGCCGGACAGCGTCGACTGGAGGGCTCGCGGCGCCGTCACCGAGGTCAAGAACCAACGCAGCTGCGGTGAGAACCACTCCCGAACACAAACACGTCGATGGCATAGCTCACGCAGTGGCGTATCTCGAAAATTGATTCGTTGGTATCATAACGTATCTACTAATACCATAATATGCTAATTATACTTAGATCATGATGTTATAATACATGGATAAACAGTTTAACTACAGGTTTACTGAAAGTCGTCGGTGTCGTGTCGTCTGACACCGGCCGTTACACTGTAGATCAGCTCATGTGTACTGTACGGCGTTCGTTGCAGGGAGTTGCTGGGCGTTCGCGGCGGTGGCGGCGACGGAGGGGCTCGTCCAGCTCGCCACGGGCAACCTCGTGTCGCTCTCGGAGCAGCAGGTGCTCGACTGCACCGGCGGCGCCAACACCTGCAGCGGCGGCGACGTGTCCGCGGCGCTCCGCTACATCGCCGCGAGCGGCGGGCTGCAGACGGAGGCGGCCTACGCGTACGGCGGGCAGCAGGGCGCGTGCCGCGCCGGCGGGTTCGCCGCGCCGAACTCGGCGGCAGCCGTCGGCGGCGCCCGGTGGGCGCGCCTGTACGGCGACGAGGGCGCGCTGCAGGCGCTCGCCGCCGGGCAGCCGGTGGTCGTGGTCGTGGAGGCCTCCGAGCCGGACTTCCGGCACTACAGGAGCGGGGTCTACGCCGGGAGCGCCGCGTGCGGGCGGCGGCTCAACCACGCCGTCACGGTGGTGGGCTACGGCGCGGCGGCGGACGGCGGCGGGGAGTACTGGCTGGTGAAGAACCAGTGGGGGACGTGGTGGGGCGAGGGCGGCTACATGCGCGTCGCGCGCGGCGGCGCCGCCGGCGGCAACTGCGGCATCGCCACCTACGCCTTCTACCCGACCATGGACAGCTAGCTCAACTGAGCACTGGACAGTGAACACTAGACTGATGCAAATATGTACTAATATTGATAAGAATGTTACGCCTAATGCAAATATGTAATATGTGTGGGCGTCTGGCTTCTAAGTGATAAGCTATTAAGCCATAGTTAAGGAGTATATAGTAGATAAAATGATTATGAAACCAGAACTGTATCGACATATGCAGTTAAAGAAACTGATGTCGGTAATGGATGGAGCAAATAAGCACTTGTACACATTAAGAAAAGATGATTCAGAAAATTCAGGACATGCTTATTGCGCACAACATTTTTCTGTCTTTTTACTGTTCCAACGAAGAGGAACTATTCATCGAGATAATATTAGTAACCAACATAAACTGCTGCGTTCACTATATAGCAATCATCGTTTTTATCTCCCATTGCTTCTAGGCATACGCCACTTGAACAGATCATCCCACCGTCCACAACCTCAAAGCTGATAATTTTACCACTGCAAACAATGAGAAAATAGCATAAGGCGGCGCTTTTGCTACGTCATATGTAAACCAAATCAAGATGCACACTATCAGTATCATCAGATTAAGGCTATAAACACGCTGCTAATGATCATTCTGGACAAATGAGATCCATTGAGTATCTCAGACATTGTTTGATTACGAGTTGTTGTTAGCAAAGAAATGCTTTACATCCAAGCAGCTGAGTCCAGGCCATTAATAATTCTGGTGTGTTCTTCCTTTTATATATTTGATCATGCTTACTGCCACATCTAAATATCTAATATTACTGTAAAATGCAACCATGAATACGAGTTCATGGAAACTGTCTGCGCACTCTAAATATTTCTCTTGCTGATCTTTCATTTTCAGTAAGTCGTGAAAATCGTATGAGTCCATATGGCTTTCTTTTGTATGGCTGCTTTCTATCTCAGCAAACATCACACAGCACAGTATTGCAACTATTAAACATTCCTACAACGCTAATGTGAATCAATTTGTCATGGCAACATGGATTTACCTGCTTGTTATGCACACTAGTTAGCACAAAATGTTATAGTTTGCCACTTTGGCTTTTGTCTGAGATACTGTAAGCTGTAACCATGTAATACTTTCACATCTGAAGGACATTCTGGAGCACTGGTGTTGAACATTCAAAACCCTCTTATGTAGTAAGTATAGTGCTGACCACACTGTCTTGTGTACTTGATAAAAGATGGTATTTATTTGCCTAAGACGCTGTGATGACTTTAAGGATGAAGTTTTTATAGAAATATGATCAAAAGGAAAAGCAGGTGGTGATAGAAAAAATAATCAAATATGCTAAAAGGTGAGACTGTATTGATCGAGGGTCACTGAACTACCCGGTTCTACTTTATTATATACATAAAAAATCTTAGTTAGAGATCACAGCTACACTCAATAAGCATTCAATTTGAAGGTAAACACATTGGATAACCACATCTATCTTTTGTAGTTATGGGAAACTGGTTACAATTTTGAAAGAACTAGAACACATTAAACTTTTTTTTTTTCAAATCTAAGCCCTTGACTGCCTCAGATTTTGTTATTAAAGAGCTAAGGGCTCTTTTCAATACAGTTAGCTTATGAAAATCATTAGTGTTGGAAATAGTGAGCAACTGAGCAATGTTGGGTAATGAAGAGGATCCGTACTTGATCTTGCCATATGGTTATGAACATAATCACAAGGAACAATTGTACTGAACAAATAAACATGATAGCTCATGTTCCTCTACACCACATTTGTTCACCATGTCCATGAGTTACCTAACCTAGATATTGCCAATCATACCAAGGTTCAAACTTACTACTATAATGCGAGCTAGTATGGTACACAACCGACCAAAACATGCTCAATAAACTTGTAGGGGTACTCATTGCATCCATTTCTGATTCAGCGTTCCAACAAGAAGATCCCAATTTTACTAATAAGCACGAAGAGAACACAGAAAGAGTGCTCACTAGGGGAAGACGGCCTTGACTCTCTCAACGTCCAGCAAGTGCTGCGTTGGCCTCGGCACCCCGAGCTTGATCTGCAGCTTCATCTGCTCCGTGTTCACCCCAGGAATGGATCCTTCATACACCAAAAACAGCTCAGTTAATCAACGATAGGAAACAAAAAGAACAGGTGAAGAATTTGGCGTGCGGATGAGGTGTTCGACGGAATGTCTCAGAGACAGGAGAGGCGAGCTGTGGGGGAGGCTACCGCTGCGGAAGGCCGGGATGGAGTTGGAGGTGATGGCGTCCCTGCAGGCGCGCACGGCGGCGGCGGTGACGTCCTGCCCGTGCTGGTCGTACCCGACGCCCATCTCCACGAACAGCAGCCTCATGGCCTCCTGCTGCCCCTCCCCGCCACCGCACGCCTGGGTCTGCGCCGCCTCCATCTCCATGGGAGACGACGAGGAGGCGACCGCTCTCGCTACTCCTGCGGCGGGCGGCGCCGGGTTCTCCGGCCTAAGGGATCTGATCCGGCAGCGAGGCGGCCGGCGGCAGGAGGAGGTGGAGGGGAGCAGCGGTGGTGTTGGTTTGGTCGGGCGGGGGAGGAGGAGGAGGCAGCTGGGGGATGATGCTGCTGACATCATCATCATCATCATCCTTCCGCTGTTTCAATAAGCCGACGAAATATAGCCATCGTGTGACCATTATGATTGTTGATCAAGGTCAAATGGAGTTGCAGAATACACCCTCTGTTTTCAAATTAAGTTCCATCTTATAGTTTTAAAACGAAGGGTGTAGTTGGATCTGCTAAAACATCACTGCTATACTACTTCCGTTTTAAATTACTTGTTATTTTAATTTTTTTTCTTAGCTAAAGTTATGATTTATGACCACTAATTTTTAAAAATTCATATAGTTTAACTATATGTGAAATATGTATTATAAAATTATTTCTCATGACGGATCTTAAAATATAAATCATCTAAATTAAACTATATGTCTTCTAAAAAATATTAAACTATATGAGTTTATAAAAATTACTAGTTAAAAAATAAAATATTTGATTTAAGACATATCTTAAATGACTGAATACGAAAGTCGCGACAACATGGTATCCAGAAAATTAAGTCACCGATTATGTGCTTACCCGTGTCATATTAATCATATTGTTATCTCCTACGTACGATTAATAACGAACACGGCCTATGCAAACTGCGCGGCTAACTACCAATATTCCTTATTTTCTATTCTAAATTTTCATTTTTTTCTAAATTGTATTTTTATATAGATTGTAAACTCTTATTTTAGTATTTTTTTAATTTTTATTTTTATAAATTAAAGTTATAAATTGTATTTCTATACGGACTCATACGTCTACTTCTATTTTCTTTTTTTAATTTCAAATTTTAGTATACTGATATGGATTGTTTTTTCTTTCAATATTTTTTTAATTTCGAATTTTGGCTATTTAAAATTGTATTTCTATATTGTCTCTATTATTCTTTTTCTCTGATTCCATATTTTAATTAATTATAAATTGTACACCAGTATGAACTCTAGCCTTCTCTTCCAATATTCATTATTTTTTAATTATCTATGTAAATTGTTTTTCTATATGGACTTTAATTAATATGAGAATTTCTAGGCCCAGCAAACGCGGAGTCTAATTTTCTTAGGCTGTGTTTAGATCCAGGGTGAAAATTTTTGCCCTGTCACATCGGATATACTGACACACATTTGAAGTATTAAATGTAGTCTAATAACAAAACAAATTACAGAATCCGCCTATAAAATGCGAGACGAATTTATTAAGCCTAAATAATCCGTCATTAGCAAATGTTTACTCTAGCACCACATTGTCAAATCATGCAGCAATTAGGCTTAAAAATTCGCCTCGCAAATTAGTCGCAATCTGTGCAATTAGTTATTTTTTTCGTCTATATTTAATATTTCATACATGTGTTAAAACGTTCGATGTGACAGGATGAAAAAACCTGTTAGCGGATCTAAACATGTCCTTATTACTTAAATAAGTTAATGCATTAGTTCTTAATCCAATTGGTTAAATTAGAAATAAACTTTGTGAATGTGGTTTGTTTGGTCATGTCCATCTCAAGCTTTTTTTACTCCGATTCCTATAGTTAGTTTAAGCTTCCGTAAAAAAAATTATATAACTATATAACTATTATGGCCGTGTTTAGTTGTTTAGGTGTAAAAATTTTGAAGTATACGGACACACATTTGAAGTATTAAATATAGACTAATAACAAAACAAATTATAGATTCCGCTTGTAAACTGCAAGACGAATTTATTAAGCCTAATTAATCTGTCATTAGCAAATGTTTACTGTAGCATCACATTATCAAATCATGGCGTAATTAGGCTTAAAAGATTCGTCTCGCAATTTACATGTAAATTGTGCAATTGATTTTTTTTTCATCCGCATTTAATGCTCTATACATGTGTCCAAACATTTGATGTGACGTTTTTGGCAAACAAATTTTGGAATCTAAACACACCCTATATTAAATCTAAACTGTTATAATCTGGATCTACTATGACCCAATGGTTATTTTTTCTCTCTTTTTTCTTGATTAAAATTGGAATTTCTATTTTTCTTGTCCGTTTTCACTATTTTCTATCTTTCTTGTCCAATTGGAATTTTTTTGTCCGTTTCCAAGTTTTTTTTTGTCCGTTTCAGCTCTTAGGTTTATCTTTTTTGTCCGTTTCTAAGTTTTTTTTGTCCGATTGGAATTTTTTTGTCCGTTTCTAAGTTTGTTTTTTTTGAAAAGTACTCCTTCTATTTTTCTTTTTTTCTTTAAATTAACGTGGGATTTTCTAGGCCGTGAGAGCGAATGTGGAGACTCTTTTTTCTATTACTATGTAGATATAATAGATTTAGCTACCTACATCCTCTAAAAAAAGCTACCTACATCAGATCCATGTCATCTAATCCCAGCCTTACCAAATAATTTGGTACTACTAGACTAGTAGTAGAGTTTTAAGTAGGACAATATATTCTATGTGCACACATCCTAATGCAGTTACTACGTTATACACTCACTCACTGGGCACTGGCGACCATAGGATCTCAATCGGATGGATTGGATCCAAACGGGACAATTTCGTAGAAAACTGCCCGCTTCTTCACCTGTCGTTTGTTCCCGAAGCAATCGATTGTTGATGACCTCGGGATGGCAAGCAGCCAGCCAGCCACATTTCACGGCAGACGGCATCCTGCGTCACCGACGCCGTGGTCGGTGGAAAATGGCCGTGGCCGTGGTCGGTGGAAAGCGGCGGCGGATCCCTCTGGCATTTGGATACAAGCGGCAGCGGACAGGCAGACGACGCCCAGCAGCGGACGAGAGAGGCGATAGCTAGCGGGATCGCAAAACAGGAATAGGGGAACGACGGAAAAGAACTGCTAAGAAGAATTGCTTGATTGACAGTTCGTGGATCGATCCAGATCGAGCCGAACCTGGAGCGAGCGCCGCGCATTGACATCTCTCGCGTGAGCCGAGCCGAGCGGGGTGCGGATGGAGCCGTGGGGGCTGGCCGTCGGATGGGCGACTCATCCACGCGTACGTCATGCATCTGCGTAGGGCCGGGTTGAACGGAATGAGGTTTGCACCTCGTATGCACATAATTTTTTTCCGACCATGCAATAGGGAGAGGTCATCACGACGAACCCACTCTGATCCCGCCGATGCCGTCGCCACCGCCGCCGCTGCCACCAGCATCGATCGACAAGGAGGAGGCGTGCAACACCTTCGATGAGGACGACACTGACTTCAATCTTCCATTGATTGTGAGCATAGACACCTTCTAACAGGGATTTTGATTGCGGGAGGCATCTTGATTATTCATCTTCTTCAAGCAATCTCCCGTGAGCATGGTCTACCGAGAAGATTCAATCCGCCGCCGACGTCTTGCCGCACGTACGGGGAAGGAGACAATTAAGGTGGGGGAGAAGTAGCAGGAGCCTAGATAAAGAGAAGAGAGAAATCTAAGGGTTATTTGCGAAACCACTGGTGAAAAAGCGGGGCGTTTTCTACAAATTGCCCTGATTATATCCTATCCATCCATCCGATTGAGATCCTAGCTACGACTGACAGCAAGTGAGTGCACAAGGCAATGAGACATTTACAGTTTGAAGATGACGATATGCTGTGTGGTAGAACTTCTATAGTGAGGGGCGAAGGACTTTAAGAGATGCTACGGTGTCCTGATTGTTTGCTTCCGTAGATTTATTCGCATACGCGAATACGGAACAATATATAAATGCATACATTCTTGGTCAATGATAGGAGAGGACGACGGAAGAGGACAGGACGTAGCTCCACTTAGGTAGCAAACACTTCCTCCATTTCTCATTTACTTGAAACATTTGATTGATGCTGTTTTAATAACCTGATCACACTTTCAAATTGTTCTACAGATTCTGATGAACAAAAAATGTATGATTGTATTACCAATTTATCATGCAATATATTTTGGTTGCATGGTATATTATTTTATATATTTGTAAATTAATTATCGAGATAAGGGGTGATCATTTTTTTAATTAATAAGAGAAAACATAGGTGGTGTGATTTTTAGATAATCGATTAAAAATTACACCCTTCACTCACGTAGCTACAACCAATTATTAAAAAAAATCACTCAACGATGAGCACACACCAACAAGTGGTATGGCTAAGATTAGTAGGTTTCTTATGAGGTTAGGGAGTTACTGTTATTTCGTTTTCTTTTTTTCGAGGGATTAGGGCAGAAGCTCTGCAAATTTTATTATAGAAGAAGAGAGAATCACAAGGTTCACCTCTTAGAAAGGTGTCACAGCGAAGGACATAAGGGATTACAAGAATTGAGCTTGTCATACGCTTTGCATACATGGCGATGATAGAGTCAACCACCTGCAGAACCGTACTATATGCACCATTGAAAATTCTATCGTTTCTTTGAAGCCAAATACCCAAAGTCATGTAGATGATTAAGCCATTGAAATTTCGTCTTTATTCTTTGATCAGTTCTCTTCAGCAAGCTTCCCACCAGTCCAGCATGTCCCCATTGAAGAGGATGCATTCACGAGATGGCGGGAGTGCGATGCGCATCCACATGCGTGTAATGAGAGAAGAATGGAAGTGAATTTTTTTCCTCGAGGGGACATCCCCTCGTTTTGTGCATGTCATTCAAAAAGTTATCAAAATTCGAAACAAAAATAACAAATTTGACCGTGAATTACGCGTTCTATTCATAGTTAAATTTTTTTATTTTTATTTCTACTTGTATAAGTTGAATTTTAATTGGCATGTTGTAAAGTGACATATCACATATTGATCTATCCTACTAAATTTTTTTAATTTTTTTGATGACTTTTTAAGTAACATGCAAAAATGAGGGGATATCCTCTTATGTCATGATTTGAGTTTTCCGAGAAAAATGAATTAAGATAATACATGATCTCTATTTCTATGGCCCTTTGATGGTACCAGGGTTACCACGCATTTTTTAGCGCTAATTAATTAACCACCATCTGAATAGAAACTGCCAAGTGTTACTTGTATATATGTACAATATATAAATATATAATTATTTGAATTTGACACACAAAGGGTAAAAACAAACACAACCTTAATTTTCTCGGTTCTTTTCTCCCTCCTTTTGAACGCTTTTGCCCTTCGTTTTCTCGTTCCAAACGCATGCAAATTCATGAATCCCATATAGGCCCGAACGCCGGGATGCCGGCCTTCCTGCACCCGCTCACCACGTCCCTGCTCCCCTCCGGGTTGCTCGTCACCACCACCACCTCCGCGCCCCACCGCCGCGCCGCCGCCACGGCGAGCTCCCGCACGTCCGGCCGCCCCATCACCGCCGTGTCGTGCACCACCACCCGCCCCGCCATGCTCTTGCCGCCCGCCGCCGCCGCCACCGCCGCCCTGATCTCCTCGCCGTAGTTCGCCTCGACGCCCTTCGCCACCCACACCAGCGACAGCTCCGTCGCCGTCGTCGTGCTCGGCTGCATCAGCAGCGACAGGAACACGCAGATGCCCGACCCCGTCGCCACCATGGTCGCCCGCCGGTACATGCCGATGAGGTACGGGAGGCCGGCGAAGTGGACGCCGCGAACCCAGAGGTGGGTCGGCGGGTCGGCGACGAGGCCACGGGTGAAGTCGCCGACGGCGCCGGCGAGCATCGCGTGGGTGCGCCGCCCGTCGGAGATGATGCCGAAGGCGTGCCACTCGGAGAGCGGCGAGCGGCTGATGCGGCCGAGGAGGCCCGCCCTGACGCCGCCCTGGAAGGTCAGGATCGCCGCGTGGGTGGACGGCGCGGTCACCGTCACCGGCACGCGGCGCACGGTGAGCCACGGGAGGGTGGTGAAGAAGGTGATGGCGGCCGCGAGCCTGATGTCCTCGCGCCCCGCGAGGACGGCGCCGGCGAGCGGGACGTAGGACCTGGCCTCCCGGTCGTAGCCGGCGGAGAGCACGACGAACGTCCAGAGCAGGGCGAGCGCGCCCCAGCCGGCGAACCGGTGCGTCCGCTCGAACACGTTGTGGTGGAGGTGGCGCACGAGCGGGAACGCCGCCGCGCAGGAGAGCGCGAGCAGGAAGAGGATGGCCGACGCGACGGCGACGATCTCCGGCGGCATCTCGTCGCGGCGCCGGAGCGCCTGGACGAGCGCGTAGGCCAGCCACGCGACGGAGGACACGCCGCAGCCGCTGTGGACGCCGCCGAGGGACTGGAGGATCGCCGTGACGCCCGTCTTGGCGACGACCGGCACCCACGGCCGGCCGAGGAGCGCGACGGCGAGCCAGAACACGACGCGGAGCGCCGCCTCGGAGCGGCACAGCGTGAGCGCCAGGATGTTGCCCATGGCGAAGACGGCGGCGCGCCGCTCCGCGTACGGGAAATGGCCGGACGCCGCGAGCGCGACCGCCGCCGCGTTCAGCGCGACGCAGAGCACGAAGAGGCGCTTGTACACGGTGAACAGTCCCTGGTCGAACAGTATGACGGCGAGCCTCGATCGCCTGGCGGTGGCCGGCGCCGCCGCCGCCGCCGCCGACACGCTCGGCTTCTTCTTCCCTTTCAAATCATCCTCGACGTCGGCAGCTGCGGCCGCGGCGACAGCCATCTCCTCGTCGTGGCCGTCAAAGACGGACACGCCATCATCCTCCTCCTCGTCGCCGGCGACGTCGAGGTCGCAGAAGTGGCTGCTGGCGCGGCTCTGCGACCGTCCAACGCCGCAGTCCGGCTTCGCCGGAATGATCCTAGAGAAGGAGGAGTAACGGCTCGACGACAGTAGAGGCAGCCAGATCCACCTTCCGGTGCTCGGCGCCGCCGGTGGCGGCTTGGCAGGGCATGCGGCGGCGGCGGCGGCGGCGATGGCGAAGGGGCTCGCCGGCGAGGGCTTGGGCTCGAAGGTGACGCCACGGCAGCTCGAGAACTTGATCTCGATGGGCTTCGTTGTCAGCTCGTCTCGCCCATCCATGGCGCGAGGCAGTAAGCCTAAGAAACTGACTTGAATTAACTAGGGTTTGGTTTGAAATCGCCAGTGGTTGTAGAATTGCATGTGTATTTATAAGCAGCTGAAGCAAGCAAGCATCAGCATGAATGCATGGGTAGATAGGCTTGATGAAAGTGTTTTCAACTCTATGTCAAGGGGATATACCAGTATTTTTCGTGCAACTCAAATAGTCATCAAAATATTTTTTAAAAAATAATAAGATAAATTACTATGAGATATGCTCCAAACATACACGTTTAAATTCGACCCATGTAAGTTCAAACAAAAAGAACAAAGCGGACCTCTAAAAATATTATTTTTTAGTTATATTTATTATTTTTATTCTAATATAACTTGTATAGTTCGAATGTAAACTTGCGTATTTATGGAATAATTTATCTCATGGTGATCTATCACATTATATTTTTTTTAAAAAATAATGACTATTTAGGTGGCATATACAATAAAATATATTCTCCTAAGGAATGAAGATCCATCTGAGCTTGATATTACAAGTTGGCATGAAGGTTGTAAAATATATGGGGAGTCTTTGTACTATATTTTGTACTTTGGACTTTCAACGTACTTTCCAAACGTATACAACTATACTTCAATAACCGTGCGGAGTCTTTTGATAAGGAGTACTACTATCTGTCTATCTTTATCCAATTAGTACTACTGTATTCTCACAGCATTATCAAGCTAGTTCTACTCCCTCCATTTCATAATATAAGTCACAACCACTTTTTTAGATGTTCTATAATATAAGAACACCCGCAATAGTTATCTATAGTCTCTCTACAAGAGATCCATATCAGCATATTTTCCTACTTGGAAGAGATTAAATGAAGAGAGAGCAAAACTATCTACTAACCTGGAGATAGTCTATAGTAAAAAACGATGCAATGTATTAGAGAGCTATAGATACCCATGTAGACATACTATTGAGGTGATTTACTATTAATCTAGTCTATTGCTGAGATGTACATGTTTTATAGAGAGCACCTTACTTTACCATTGTGGGTGCTCTAAGGTATGCATGCATGTAGACAATTAACTATGGCCCCTTCTCCATTAAATTATTACTTTTTTAAATCCTCCACTCTCATGTTCTCTAATTCTATTGGATGCATGAATTGTATTTATTATGATAATCCAAACTACAAGATGATAATAATTATTTCTTGGTCTTTGAGTTAAAGGTGATTATGCCTTATATTTTGGAATGGAGGGAGTACTTTTATTTTTACGAAACGCAATACACAAGCAATGCTCATATAAACATGCTCACGTTTACCTTATCCCTATAAATACCTCCGAAAACTAAACCAACGTATCTTGAGAATCATAAAGTCACCGCAGACGCCTCGCGCTCACCCTATACATATAGACACCTCGGAATGCTGAACCAACATATTTTTGAGATTCATGAATTCATCGCAGACGTCTCGCTGTCGACAAATATGTCACTTACCCCTGAAAGAATAATTAGCCATAAATGTGGGCATCGTACCAAGTCTTAGAACTTAAACCCGGATGAGTAGATTCCACTACCAGAAACTTAATCAGTTGAGCTAAGTTCACTTTGCATATTTCATTTACATCTCTTAGCACAAGAGAATGTGTGCAACTGTATGCACAGTTCAATTAAGAAATGATGACATAAACATGAAATGCTTTTGGAAATATTCATTTTTTATTTCACTGAATTAAAAATTACACTCATATGAAGGACATTGATGCCGGTTTTTTAAATAAACTGACACCCTCAGTAGGAGTCAAGCTGATGAGCCAGCCAACTGCCACGTTTTTAATTTGGCTTGTTGCTCGCTGCTCTCTCGCTCTCTCGAAGAGCGCTGCTATGAGTGTCTCATCCTACTCGCATCCACCACCGTGCCATGAGCATCGCCACAAGCTTGGAGTCGCTAGATCCGGCCGCCACAAGCTCAAGGGTGGCTACATCCACCGTCGTGAGCTCGGGGACAACACCATCCCCTTCTCCCATTCGGCGGCAGAGCATTTCACTCCCTCGGCCTCCACCTCACCATGGCCTACTAACCGCCACGAGCTTGGGGCTGGATCCTTTAAACAGTGGGTGGGACCATGAGACGGAGGCAACCACTAACAGAAGCGGCGGCTGATCTTGGGGATTTGGGATTTTTGATGGATCCGGTTCTCTTATCTGTTGGATTATTTCCTCTACCTCCCTTGTCGATTCCCTAATTAATGTTGTTTTTCCCTTTGTTGTTGTAGTGGATAGTTAGTTACGGATTGGGTAGTAGATGGATTCTGATTTGAGAAATAATGCATTTGTGCCAAAATTTGTGTTTCACTTGATTTTTTATGTTGAAAATAATTTGTGTTTGATGAAGAACAATTTGGAGAACTTTTGTGGGCAACACATCGGCCTGAATTGAGCCAATCCACTTTTTTTTTAAATCGTGCACCTCATCGGTGTCGATTCTCAATTAGACACTGATGAGGCCGTCATCAACGCCGCCTTCATGGTTTTGGTTGAGGAATCTGGCACCTATGTAAGGTTTCCACCAGCACCAAAGTGAGGTTTTGTAGTAATGATTAATTTGACTTACACATTTACCAAAAAACATTGAGTATATGTAAGAGTGCATGTAAACACTCACTGCACCATGCCCCAAAATTCTTTAACTTATTTTCCCACTAGTCAGCAAAGAGGACTTATATGCTGCCAAACTATATGTCGGGAAAGCTTTGGCGATAGATGAAGTCTGTCAGGGTAAGTACGTACTATACTGCTCATCATGTCAAATTTATCCTTTTCTCTCTCTCTTTTTTTTCTCTCTCGATATGCCGATTGGGTTTGGACTTTCAATTCTGTTACTAGATATTATATGTCTGTTGTATCTAGATATTATGAAATAAATTTAGAGATTTTAATATTAATTTGGTTCACACAGAACCATGCGAGAGCACATCTGCACATGCCCTTATATACATAAAAGATATTAAGACGTGAAAATGTAATCAGAAAAAAAAGAAGAAAATATATGTCCAGTATAAAAAAAGACCAACGTACCATGCATGGCCGTTTGCACTTTATGAAGATGATGAATTACAGATTTAATAATTTATGACGTTCATAATTCATACAACTAGACGATCGACACACTTGTTTCACTTGTAAAAAATAATCGGAATAAAATGTTTCCAAACATATTAGTGAGAATAATTAGCAATAACTATACTGAGTGGGTACTTTTTTTTTTTACGTCTACGCAAGGGAGAGGGGGATTATTAGCAACAATTAGCAACGTACAAACTATTTTGTACTACGATACATCTAATGTGTGCATGCAGTTTTTCGTAATAACTAGGTTTAAATAAGTTAACCTATTATAAGATGTGACACATCCTAATACTATTTATCTGTATAGAAGCATGTCCATGTTTATAGTACTAGAATATCTCATACTAGATTAACTTATTTTGAAACAAATGAATCATATAGTAGTTATTAATTAGTGGAGTACAAAATAAACTAGATACGAGGGATTTATAGTAATAAATAGGGAGCAATAATTGCACATAACATATCAATGGTTGAGATCGAGCCTAACTATACATTCGGTCATGAACCTAACAACAATAGGGAACTATAAGCTAGATATGAGATCCAATGTACTCGGCTTCACCCATGTTGAGCTTTCAGTCCCAACTATTTAAAAATAATAATTCATCAAGTAATTGGTTTGTACAAATTAAAGTACTAAGTGTACATCTAAAATAATTCAATCAAAGGCCCACTGCAGCCAAATACAGTTTTGTGGCCTGTCGATGGCACTGCACTGTACTACATGATTACAATGTATAGATGGTTGAAATAATGTGAATTCTATTCCAAGTACTTGAATAAGGACTTAGTTGTAGTGTGCCTAACGATAGAAGGAGATATTATCCATTTCCATTACATTAAAAATGTATTTGAAGAAAAAACATAAAATCCTCTCATCTGCCTTGCCACCGCCGAGCTAGCTGCTGGGCGCAGCACCAGGGATGGTGGGGGCGGGGTTTTAAGAGATGAACTACGAATAGGCGATGGCATCTGCAAGTGGTGGAGGGTGGCAGCGGCTGAAGCGCCGCCTCAACCGGATGTGGTGCCGCTATGCCAGATTTAGCCAGCTACGACCGAAGCACAACTTCAGAGACCCGATGGTCTTGAGGCTCCATCCCTACGTGCCTCCAGAGGCACTTGTTGAATGTGCATGTGGTGGTGGCTGGTGGTTGACAACATCTTCTGTGCAGTGGCTTCAGCACATTCCTCTCATGCTTAGCTTCCTCCAGGGCATGGTCGCGGGGAGCTTCGGGTAGGCAATGTACAGGCTAGTTATAGATGTGGGGTTGGTAGGGAATTGCTAACGAAAGCCTTGCTATGCTATTGGCCCGCTTCAACGATGGCGACACCCTTAAGTGTCGTTCCCCTCCTTGGAGGCGTCATTAATGTGTTTCTCTCCTCTTCCATACACTTTTGCTTATTACCAAAGAAAAGAAGCTTGTTGAAAGTGCCTGCTTTGTAAAAACAATGCAGAAGGAAGCGGGGAATGTCCTGTCCAATTTTAAGGTGAAAACCTCGCTCCAGCTTTCGGATGAGAGGTGGTGGCGAATCATGTTGTATCTCCCATGGGGGCGTTGCTTTAGAGAACCTTCCTCGTGTAGCGGAGACCGTTGGTGGAATTTTGTGTTGGCCTGGGACTTAGCAGCTGGTTTGCAATTCAGTTACTCTTCGGTGATACCATTCGCTTCAGTTCTTGGTGCTGGCAGTGATGTGTATGGGTTCCGATAGGCAGAACAGTCGGACGCTATTTTAGGGAGTCTATTTTCAGTTTTGAGGAGGATGAGGATTACATACAACCTGCAATCCATTTCTCAAAACAATGGTTATGCAAACTTTTATCATTTGTAGATAGTGTTATATCTGCGTAGGCTGATGATGTTCTAATTAGTTTTCTTGTTACCTATCAAGCTATGATACATAAATTGTGGTCG